GTGCTTGAATGGCAGTGGGCGCTTCATACCCTTGATTTTTAACCTCATTCATTACATAATCAGGAAAACTAGCTTCGCTGAAGTTCTGAATGGGATTTGGAGCGGGACCATCAACAGTAATTTCTTTGGCTCCTCTGAACTGCTCAACTTCATATGGCGACCGATTAGCAACAGCTGGGTGAGGAACATAGAAATCCTTCTTGAATGGTCTTAGGGTTTTGTTATCCCAAATAGGTCTACGCAGACGGGCACCGGCTCCACCGCTTTGGTTGCGGTTTCCACCGCCACCGCCACCGCCTCCAAATCTGTTGCCGCCTCCGTTTCTAAAACTGTCGCCGCCCCCATTTCTGAAGTTGTCGCCGCCCCCATTTCTGAAGCTGTCGCCACCCCCCCTGTTAAAACCGCCTCCGCCGCCACCTCCTCTGTTGCCGCCACCAAATCCGCCGCCGCCTCCGTTACGACCGCCGCCAAAGCTGTTGTCGCGGCCACCGCGGAAGGAACCACCTCCGTTTTTATTCCCGTAAGACCTAAGAAACATTTTTAAATTATAACTGTCAAGTTGACATTTATATTTAAATTTACTGTTTTGGTAACAGTTTTTATTTCCACCTTCTTGGTAAATGACATTTTATAGGTTAATTTTGTTGATTTTGTATCCAAGTAAACGATACATTATGGGAACAGACCTGTAATATTTTACAGGCTTGTATAAAAGACCTGTAAAGTTTTACAGGCTTGTAAAAAGCAATTTATGAAATGAAATGTCACATTTGATATATTATAAATTTTAAATTTGAAAATCGTTATCTAAAGGTGAAAATAAAAGTTTGTACGTGTCACGCTTTGCAATTAATCTTTACTAGGCTCACTGGATTATGTGGTTCGCTCTTGCGTCGCTCACCCCACAAACTTCCAGCTCGCCCGTAAAGATTCATTTACAAAGCTTGACACGTAAATAACTATTAAAAAATTCTAGTTACATAACTAATATTTAAAATATGGGTTGGTAATTTTTTATTTTAAGTAATTTTTAGTTACATAACTAATATTTAAAATATGGGTTGGTAATTTTTTATTTTAAGTAATTTTTCGCCAAAATTTATTTATGTATTGGCAAGCCTTACAAGTTTAAACAAAAGTAAAATTAATATTTTTATAATAAAATTATTTTTTTTTTATTTGGGGAAATAATTTTTAGATAAATCATAGATAGTGTTGTAAATGAGTTTTCGCCACAGACCTATGGTTTTCGCGCACTTTCCTGGCCGATCATTTTGGAGCACAATCGAGAACTTTCCTTTGAATATGCTCGAAAATTCTCGATCCCAAAAAGGTAAAACGCGATAAAAGTGGCAACATTTCGACACGTTTCGTGAGAATCATAAACCAAAAAGGTTTATGGTGAGAATCACAGGTGGCGTGGCCCGCTGCATCAGGTTCGGGAAAGTTTTTTTTAAATAATACCATAAGTTTAAAAAAAAAATGGCAAATAATTTGGAAAATATGTTTTTTTTCAATAGGGTAAGCAACATAATTTTTTTCTTGACTTGCTTTACACATTACGTGCCAAAAGTTGCTCATATAATACGTTTAAAATAAAGAATTACTAAATTTTCGATCATCTTCAGAGTCCGCATGAGAAAAAAGAATAGCAAGTTTTAAAAAACACTATATCTTTTTTAAGAGCAAAAAATCAAAAATGGTTTTTATCTGTAAACTAAAATAAGACTTTTGCAAGCTAATGAATATTCACATTAAAATAATTAATAATTTTTTGAAGATTTAATATTATATAATAAAAACGCGAATATTTACAAATGTGATTGCCCTGCGGAGCCTCTAAATATTTTTTAATTTTAAAAAAGCTTTCACATCTGTAATCGAGATTACAATACGCAACTTTTCCACACTAATGCTATTTTAATTTAAAGAAGAAAAAAAATTTGGATATTTTTTCGCTCCACCCTAGTATACAAACATGGAATGGATAAATATGAAGTACTGTAGCTTTCATAGAAATATTAACAATGTTCTGAAATTTTTAGTTCTTAATAATTTGACATTTTTTAACAATTTTTAAGTTATTTTACTTTTTATGAATTATTATTAATTTATGTAAAATTTAAACAATTTATTTTTCAAAAACCGCGTAACTTAAATTCTGGCAGTGAGTATTTTATTTATCCATCTTTTGATGACAAAAATTTGAAAATTATGGTATTATTTAAAAAAAACGGCCCCGAACCTCCTCAAACCATTTGTTTTTAATCTATGTGTTTTAAGATTACTGATTTTTATAAGTTATGACTTCATTATTTTTGTTATTATAGTGTTTTTTATTGATTCGATTAAACCGTTTAACACATGTAAAAATATTGAAAAAACTGGTAATCTTCTCGAGAACAAATAAAAAATGTATACCTAATCTTCTTAGGAATGTTAAAAAAAATATTTACGAGAATATAGAAAATAAACAATAAAAATAAGAAACATTAACAAAAATCGTTCAGTGGCCTAATTCTGTTATGCTGTTTTAATAAATTATCGGAAATTTATTGATTATGCTCGTTTTTTCTCGTTTGTTCTTAATTTGCGTTCTTTAAAAATAAAGGCTCAGACATTTTCCATCTCTAGATATAGAGATAAATCATTTAATTCAAGTTACATTTAAACTAAACAAATTCGTCAAATAAAAAAAAATAACTTCAATATCACCGTAAGTGCAATTGTGCAGTACCTATATTATAATAATTATTATTATTATACGAGAGATAATGCAGGCACGAGGTTTGCGTCTGGAGTCGCCAGAGTCACATCCGTGTGAATAATGCGCATAATCACGAGTGTAACACTATACTTTATCAACTCCCATAAGTTAACAATTAAATGATTTTCAAAAATAAATAAATTAAAAACTGACTTTTTACCAATTTTAAATGTTATTATAGTCGACTTCTCCCAATTAAATAATTTAATCAACCTTGTAGCTCTTCAAATAAAAAGAAACCAATACATAGGAGGAAAAATATATTATTAGGTACCCGGTTATTGAAATAACCTGAATTATTCGTTTATGAGTTTCGGATTCAAGTGATGAATAACTGGTTATTTGCGCAGTGTAGCAATATATTTTTTAACGAATCTACTGCCGATAGACATATTAGTTAATATGTTAATACGCTCATGCCACTACCAATGGAAGAAATCAACTAACCTGGTTGAAAAGTCTGAAAAACCGTGGTAAATACAGTTATCTGTAATATACAGAATTCTGTAATTTATATTTTTAGTTAGAGTTACAGGAATCTGCGCAGTAGACAGTTGAAATTTGTTTAAAATTTGAGCTCATACAACAAATTTGCATTAAATTTAAATTACTTTGTACCTACAAATACTTCAAATTTAATTACTTGTATTAAAAATGTAATAAACATTTTTTGCCTACCAAAAGAATCAAAGTTATGTTGAAAAACTACAAAAAAAGTAATTTCTAGAAAAATGACAATACCTACGTTTACGAAAGCATTTTTTAATGAATTGGGTAACGAAGCCACGCCGAATGCCTCGTTATTTAGCTCCGCCCCACGCCAAGCATTCGAGAATTTCGAGTTACAAATTGTAACTTACAATCCGGTTTTTAAAATCACTAGAATACTCGGTCGTCGGTTATTGAAATAAAATAAATAAATAATAAATAAATCTGTTATTCCCAACACTAATACTTGGTGCACCATGTATAATGAATAAATCTAATCTAGATTTAATCTATTTATTTTAATCAGTATCTGCTAAACCAGTTCCTAAACAAACAAATACGCGTCTTCACAGCTTTTTTCACACTTTACATATTAAACATTTGATTACGCGTCCACTCCCTTTCATTGTCTAAGGTCAAAATTATTATATTAAATTATTTTAAATGGAATGAATATTCTGTCACACCTTATAGAATATACCCAAGTAATTTCACATTTAAGTGATATAACAAACGGTCATATTCCGTAATACGAGTAGAAAAAATATTTTTTCTTTGTTATGAAATTTTTGGGATTGTTCTAAACAATCCCAAAAATTTCATAACAAAGAAAAACTGACCCCACCCACATCTAAATTAATAAACCGTCTGTCATTTAAATAAGCCCTGATTTATTTATTTTCTAACCAAAGCAATTTATAAAACCATTGTAGATTTTATCGAAATCTTTTATTAAAAATTGCGCAGTAATGATTTAACAAAATGGCTGAAATGTATTAATAGTCCAAATTTTCCCATTTCCAAACAAATATACTGTAGATTTTATATTTATAACAAAACAAACAATAAAAAAATGTTTTTATACAAAAAAATCACTTACATTTTGGTATTTTTGTTGTGATCTGTCGACTTTGTTTGTAAACTTATCTTCTGTTCTTTCTAGAATGGACCCAAAGAGAAATTTCTGGAAAAACAAATGTATTAGACACAAATTTTATGTTTAATCACAAAAATACATTTTTTGGTTTTAAAAAATAATATTACATTTGAGAATAAACGCAGAAACCCAAGAAAAACAAATTAATATTGACAAAGAACACTCACCTCTTCAATATCCAAAGTAAAAGAGAAAACAAGATGGAGGTCAATGCTAGAGGGAGCTAGCGATCGAAATCGATAAAAGTAGTGGCGCGAAATTTGAAATTGTAAGGTTCTTTTTGTTTTGGTATTTACTTAATGGCATTTTGGTATATTAGCTTAATGACATTTTCCTGTATAATTGAAAACATGAAAGAATAAAAAATATAACACAATACATTAAATATAAATATAAGATTGGAAATATTTCTTTAATAATGGTTTCAATAAATTCTAGAACAACCTTATTCTTAACAAAACGTTAGAGGGAGCTAGCGATTAAAATCAATGAAAGTAGTGGCGCGAAATTTTAAATTGTAAGGTTGATTTAGTTAGTATATTCTTGTATAATATATTTATTGGACACTTGAAAAAATAATACAAGTTATTTTTTTTAAATATGGTTTATTTATAAAATAATATTATAGGTATTAGTATTAGGATTGGGAATATTTCTCAAATAATGGTTTCTTAGCACACATAAATCCTTTGCCATATTGATTCTACCAGGAGCGTTATAAACACTGTGAAGATGTAACAACAAAGAATAACTGAACAACTCGGGCAGTGTTTTCAATAAATCTGAAGTCAACGCAGTTGGAATGGCAGCCAAAACCATTTCTGCAGAGTTTGTTTTGTGTTCGACTAAAGCTTTTATGAGGTAAAACGCGAAGTATGTTTGTTGCGTTATGGAGCCTTCTTGTATGCCATGCTCAAACATATTTAGGAGTTGTCTAAGGGATGAGATCAGTTGATCTTGTAGGTGGTGAGCATCTTCAGAGTCGTTCAACCTTTGCATTTTGGGAACAGGCTCATCTTTTTCCTAATAAAAAGAATATTATTACAATACCTATTGGCAAACTGTTCAAAGTTAAGGCAGTGATGCCAGATCATTTTTTATTTTTTTCAATAAAATATGCTTTTAAAAATTAGTTGAAATCAGTAGTTTTGGAAATCATCATAAATGGTTAAAATATTAATAAAAAACCATAAATTTTTATAATAAATGTGAAAAATTGTTAAGAAAATAAATTTTAAAAAATATTAAGAACATTAATGTTTTTAATTTAGACATACAAGTGAACAAAATTTAAATTTTTAATTTTTTCGTAAATTAGTTAAGCATTTAAGTTGGAAGAACTTGGCAACTCTGTGTTTTTCATTAGCTAAAATATTTCACATGTAATAGTGCGGATTTTAGTGTACCTAGTTTATTGCGCAAAATCTGCCACCTATCTGCCTCGACTTAACCGATTTTGACCAAATTTGTACATATGTATACAGGGTGTTTCTCATTCGTGGTCCATTAGAAGTTTCTGGGGAACGGAAAAAGATATCGATTTGAAATTTTAAAAGCGTTTATAATCCATTTAAATCCATTTTTATATAATACTTTATACTGCAATTTTTGATCAGTAATATTGTTTGTTAAACAATTAATTAGTCAACAAATTGACAAATTGACGCCATTAAATTTTGCCCTTTATTGGCAAACCTAATAACAAAAAAGTTATAGGCTATTATAGAAATTTTATATAGAATTTAAAGATGTAAAAATATATTAAATTAATTAATTGAAATAACAAAGTTAATGTCACTTCCGGTTAAACCGGAACTGTCATTTTGATTAAAATATTTTAGTAAAATTGACTTAAATAGATTATAAACGCTTTTAAAATTTCAAATCTATCCTTTTTTCGTTCCCCAGAAACTTCTAATGGACCACGAATGTGAAACAACCTGTATACAGGGTGTCCCGAAATTAAGATGCTAAACTTAAACAGTGCAATCTGCATAAGAAAAAACACTAATTTGTTTTATAAACATGTAAAATGCCTCCTGATGCCTTTGATACTTTGGTAATTTTGATGCTGAAACTAGACCTAAAATTAAAACTGCAAGATATAATCATATGATAGTACGCCTACATAGACGTACTATTTGGAGGGGTATAGGTACAAAAACAGCCCCTACTTTTTCTGGGTTAATTTCTTTTATTTTTTTTTTCTAAAAAAGGCGAAAATGGTGCATCTGAGCGATACCATTTTAGTTAAAAAAATACTAACCTAGAAAAAATGTGGGTCTGTTGGGCCCTTTTACCACCCAAGTTTTACGCCCATGATTTAATTTCCTTGCTTTTAGATCTACATTTAGCAGGTCAAAATTACAAAAGTTTTAAAATTTAATTTCTTAAGTTTAACCATTTAGGTATCTTTCAAAAAATCATTATTTTATTCCCCCCGTCAGGGGGACCTCCTGAGGTGGGAGGTTATTAAACAAACTAGTTTTTTATGCAGATTGCACCGTTTAATTTTTGCCCTCCAATTTCGGGACACCTTTTATATGTGGGTATGAACCTACTCCAATATTATCAAATTGGTTCACGCGTTTCGTATATAAAGGGGGTTAAGGCAGGCCAGTTAGTGAATCACCAAATTTGAAAAATAATGGAATACAGACTACAGTATTATACAGTACATAGTTAAGTCGAGGCAGATAGATGGCAGATTTTGCGCATTAACAGCAAGTTCCATTTTTTTTGTTTTTTGTTATTGAACTTTTTATAACTAATTTATTTATTGTTATTGCTATTTTGCGTTAATAAAGAGTTTTTTTAATAATAACGGTTGTTATAAAAATAATTTAATTTTAGGGTTTACATGGTTAAAAGTGTATTTTATGACAGGTGTTTAAAACAGTGCCGGTTTTAGGACAATTTTGCCCCTATGAAAATCTTTGCCGCACCTTCTTTTTATAGGGGTGCCATTTAAATACCCCCTGACAAATACTTTAAACAGGAAGGTTACATGCAAAACTGTTTTAATGTGTAAACGGATATTTCAGAACTGCAAATTAATTGCAGGTGATTCGCTTTTTATTCCAATTTTTTTAATTGTTTAATTTATCTAATAAATGGCAATACTGGCAATACGTGCACGGTGTGCCTGAACGAAGTTTAAGTCACATAAAAATGACGCCAAAAACTGATTGCAGTTTCTTGTTCGGGACCCTTTGTTGAATTAAAAATGATATTTACCAAAATCCTAGCTGATTCTCTTTTCGAAATTTTTTAAAAATTTATGATTTTTTTTTAAATTTTTGTTTATTTCAAAGTCTACCTTTGACAGAGTACACATTTGTACACCGATTTTTATAAAATTAGAGTATATTATTGAGGAGACCTAAAGAATACTTTTTAATACTGTTCACATAATTTGATATATACAAGGTGAGCCAAAAATCGCTTATTTTTAATAAAGCAAAAGCGTAAATTCATGATTTTGGCATATCACGCAAAACAGATGTATCCCCATTTTTTTTTAGATATTTCTATGTTTATTAGGTTACAAAATGGCATTCTTATTAACCTTTTATTAAAAAAATAGATTTTTAATAAAATTAAATAAAATAACGCTTAGAGAATATTTAAAATGTTGTTTAATTTAGGCTTTTTAGAAGTTTTCAATTTTGAACGAAAAACTGGTTAAAGTTTTTTGATCGGCACTCTTTGGAGATTTAAAAACGATATTTACCAAAATTCTAACTACTTTTCTTTAAATTTCTTAAAAAATCATTTTTTTTAAAATTATTTGTTTATCGCAAAGTCTACCTTTGCCCAGGGCTCCCAGCAGTCCATGTTGCGAGAAATAGTGACTTAAGAGACTAATAATAAAAAATAAACGACCAAATATAGACCAAATTAATTACCGAAATAACTATAAAATGGAGGTACAGTGGCCGACACGGAATTTTGAACGACATAACTTGGTTGTCAATGTATACATCTGTAAATAGCAAATATACAATATTGAGCATTTTTGCTTTCGCTGTCAAAATTACAATACTAGTGATAACCGAAAGTAAGGTTAGTTGTCCATAAAGAAAGTTTAGATTTTGATGTCAACGGGATGATAGTCGTTCAAAATTCCGTGTCGGCCATTGTATACATTTTTTTGGGATAAAAGATCTAAATTTGAATTTAAAATACAGAGATAACTTGAAATTATAAATTTTTATTGAATTAAATTTAACCAGTAACCATAACTGTTATAAAATAAATAACAAAAAAAATATTAAATTCTGTAATAAATTATAACTTATAATAAATAGAATCACATTTAAGTATATAAAAGGCACATTTTTTTTGGTGGGCTGCAGCTGATCTATAATTTTCGCCTTTCGTTTTTCTAAATCTTGGCAAGACGACTAATCTTGTACGTTACCTTCCCCGCTTCTTTTTTTGGAAGGTTCACTCCTTCAAACATTAGTTAAGCCATACATATTTTAGTCATTTTTTTTATTTTCTGCACCCTTCCTTAATCGTTTAATTTAATTTTTTTTATGACAGTACAATTACATTTAAACTTTGTTTTTATTAAATAATATAAATGTATAATTTTTAATAATCAAAACTATAGTTATACACTTACCTTTGCTATCGTCTGAACATATTTTTTTAGGGTTATGGAATGGATGATAATAGTACAGTCATCTTAGTCAAAAAAGGGATCAACCTCGGAATCTAACGGAATAAGCTGAATTTTGGTACAAACCTTTATTTTAGCATTACAAATGTTGTCTCAAAAGTCACATATGCCAACGTGTGAGCGGCCTTGGATATTCAAGGTCAAAGGTCGCAAAAATCAGTTTTTTGAGAATATCTCGTTTTCTCTGCCTCCTAGCGTATTTGCATTCATTATAAAAGTTGTAGAGCATAAAATTCTCTACAAGTTTTGTAAAAACATTTTTTTATAGTTCTAATCGTTTTTGAGATACAGGGCGCAGAGTGTGGAGCGCTCAGCCATACGTACCTTAGAGCAAGGTAAATCGTGAATCTCAATCTATTATACCTTTTTTAATTAATTATGTATTAAATATTACTTAAATAACAATTTAATACCTTATACTTATATTTATATTAAGAGTGTGGAGCTCTCAGCCATACGTACCTTAGCGCAAGGTAAATCGTGAATCTCAATCTATTATACCTTTTTTAATTAATTATATATTAAATATTACTTAAACAATTTAAAACCTAATACTTATATTTCTTTTAAATCAAATATATTTTATCTTAATATATATCCTATATTTTAATTTAATTTTAATGAAGGGATAATTGGATCAGAGTAGTTGTTTTAATTTATATAATTATTATTATTATTAATCTTCATCTTCTTTATCCTCGTCTTCTTCAGGTTGGCCAGCAATTTCAGACTCATTCTCATCATCACTCTCCTCGTTATCATTGACATTAATTGTCATATCTTCAAAAAATTCAGTAACTTATTACAAATAAAACACAAATCAGCCATGTTAACCTTTAAAATATTAGGAATATTATGTCACAACTTAAATTTCTTCAAATAAAAAGGTTAGGTATACCTAACCTTTTTATTTATATCAAGCCCACTATACTGCTCTACTATGGAGAAAGGAATTAACTACTAAACAAGAAATTTGTGGGAAATTAGCATAAACAACATTTTTATAAAAAGCACATTTCTGTGTTGAATTCGAATACAAAATGTCAATAGGTTTACCATAGAACAAGAAAACGCATTTTGCAGTTTTTTGTAGTTACTGCCTTTTTCCATAGTAGAGCAGTATAGTGGGCTTGATATAAATAAAAAGGTTTGGTATACCTAGTTTAGTATTTTTAGGTCTGTTATTTTAAAACTAATATCTGGATCCAAGAGATGATCAGAGATAACATATTCAAGGCAAATTCATTTAATGCCTTTTCTTCTTAAAATGCATTTATCATTAATTAGAATAACATTAGAATATATTTAGAATGATTCACTTAATTATTTAATTATTTGTATGTCAAAGGTAAGTAATATTTAATGACTATTTGATTTAAAAGAAATATAAAAATGAATATAAGGTATTAAATTGTTTTTTAAGTAATATATAATAAATAATTAATTAAAAAAAAACGGTATAATAGATTGGGATTCACCCTTACCTTGCGCTAAGGTACGTATGGCTGAGCGCTCCACACTCTGCGCCCTCTATCTCAAAAACGATTAGTCGTTTAAAAAAATGTTTTAAACAAAATTTGTGTAGAATTTTATTCTCTACAACTTTCATAATAAATGCAAATACGATAGGAGGCAGATAAAACGAGATATTCTCAAAAAATTGATTTTTACGACCTTTGACCTTGAATATCTAAGGCCGCTCACACGTTGGCATATGTGACTTTTGAGACAACATTTGTAATGCTAAAATAAAGGTTTGTACCAAAATTCAGCTTATTCCGTTAGATTCCGAGGTGAAATGCCTAGATGACTGGACTATAAAACATAGAATAGGAACACATTCTTTGTCACATGTTCTTTGATAGATACTAGGTACTTACTAATTTCATGAAAAATGCATATATAGGTAGTGTTAACCTAGCGAACCGAAACTATAAACGTAAACGAAACCCTAGACCAAACCAGAAACAATTCAGCAATAATTTTGGCGGGCGGTTCGGGTCTGGACGGCGGGAACTTTAAATATAAACTGCGAAGTTTTCGAATGTTTCACTTGGTTTACTATGGTTTCGATATTTATAAAACTGTGAATATTTATACATTTATTTATTTAAAAAATTATTTTTTAATAGTTGATTTTAACAGAAAATATAGACTTTATAGACTTTAGGTAAAAAAATAGACTTTTATAGACTTAAGACAAAAATATAGACAAGTCTTTAAAAAAACTACCTGCTGGGAGCCCTGCCTTTGCCAGAGTACACATTTGTACACCGATTTTTATTGATTGCAGTTTCTTGTTCGGGACCCTTTGGTAACTTTAAAATGATATTTACCAAAATCCTAGCTGCTCGTCTTTTCGAAATTTTTTGAAAATTCTTATTTTTTTATTTTTTAAATTTTTGTTTATCTTACCTTTGACAGAGTACACATTTGTACACCGATTTTTATAATATTGGACTATATTGTTAACGAGACTTGGAGAATACTGTTTTCATACTGAGCACATCATTAGATTTATACAGGGTTAGCCAAAAATCACGTTTTTATATAGTAAAAAGCATAATGCACAAAACAGATTTATCTCCAAAAAAATTATTTTATTTAATTTTATTCAAAATCAATTTTTCTTATAAAGTCTTGATAAGAATCCCATTTTGTGGCCTGATAAATATAAAAATATCTAAAAAAAATGGGTGTGTATATATCTTTTTTGCGTGTTATGCCAAAATCATGAATTTACGCTTTTGCATTATTAAAAGAAGCAATTTTTGGCAAACCCTGTATATATTAAATGATGTGCACAGTATAAACAGTATTCTCCAAATCTCCTTAACAATATACTCCAATATCGGTGTACAAATGTGTACTCTGCCAAAGGTAGACATTAAGAAAACAAAAATTTAAAAAAAAAAATCATGAATTTTCAAAAAATTTCGAAAAGAGGAGCAGCTAGGATTTTGGTAAATATCATTTTTAAGTCACCAAAGGGTCCCGAACAAAAAACTGCAATCAGTTTTTGGCGTCATTTTTATGTGACCTAAACTTCGTTCAGGCACACCGTGCGTGCATGTTCAAACCGACGAATGAAATACATTTTTATACGTAAATATGTTTTAATGAAGAATTAAGGCAATTGCCTATGATGCCTAGTGGTACCTAAACCGGCATTGCTCAAAAATCAAAAGTTCATATTTTATTTCTAACATTTTTTAACAATTTTAATCCATTAGCTGTGTAACTAATGAAGAGGTAAAGAATTTGAGTTGGAGAGAATTTTCTTAAAACTGCAATAAATGTCAGTCTTCTTCTGGTTTACCAATTTTTTTTTAAGAAACTGAACCATGTCAAATTAATTTTTCAACCATGGTTGCACTATTAAATGGATTAAATTATTTAATCTTTTGACACACAATGTTGCCAGGTTTTTAAACCTTAAAGCTTAGACACTCATAAACTTCGTCCTTAATTGTTTTTTTTTTACTTTTTAATGCAAAATATTAATTTAAAAAAATGGAATAATTTTTGTCTTAAAGTTCTGAATTATTAAATTTATTAATAATAATATCTTCTTTACAATAAAACTAAAAATGTACTTACTTCAAGAACTGATCCCCAAGCAGTATAAACACAATAGCTGGTCAAACAGGCTAATGATGGTAGCTGAGGTTTTTTTAAAGAATCCGCTTGCAAGTCATTGTAGAGCAATTGTGGTAGAACATGCGATAGAAGCTGCAAAGTACAGCTCACTATGTCAACATGGAATATAGCTAGGGCCAAATCCACACCCCTCTGAAGCTGATCTTTGTATCGCAGCTTTAACAGTTCCTGAATAACAGCTGAAACTAGCCATCTAGCACCTGCTGTTTCTAAAAGGCAGTGAACTGTCCTTCCTGAGTCTGAGTCCAACCAACCTCTTTGGATTCCATATAACCAAACCTACAAAAACATTTATTTTCTCAATCATCAGTATAAAACAAAGTCATCTATTAAACTAAAACTGTAAACCTCACTTGATGTAATTGGTCTGTGGCAGGCTGTTTGGACACCAACTGATGGTTGCTTCTGGTTTGAAGCGCCAGCTGCACATCGCGCTGCATTTTCCTTATAATATCGCAAGCCAACAACCAACGGTCTTGGAAACATTCTTCTTCCACCATTGGCGGTGCAAGAAGTTGCTGCACCATGTTCATGGGTTTCAACAATGTATCTTGGGGTGCTGTTCTTATGTAGGCGCACAACCACGCAGCAGCGGCCACAGGTAGGCAACACATCTTACCTCTTACAGCATCTAGGATTTTTTTCACTTCGGATGTATCTAGAGCTCCTTGCTCCCAAGCCACTAAAACCTAGAAAAAATTTACAGTTGTAAACAAGATCATTTTAGGACAGTTTCAGTGAATTTTGGGCAGTTTCAAGACCGTTTAAAATAATTGGGCAAAATGCCATGGCACGCAACCCAAGGGGGAGTGCTTATATTTTTTATTATTTTATTAAATATCTAAATACAATTAGGGCCGTATGCAGAAACGTTGATTTATTTATACCAACTGATTTACGCATATCTACTGATTTAAGTTTGAAACAATTTGGCAATAGCAAATTTTAAATGACAGTAATGATTTGTAGGTTATGCCTATACACTTTGTCTTATAAATAATTTATATTGAAAAATATAGGTACACAAATTTTAAAAACTGTTACTTTTATAAAGCAAATTTTAAAATTTAATTATTGCAGTTCTAGTCCAGATTTTTTTAACCTGTGTATTTTATTTTAAAAATAAAAATATTGTTTCATAGTTTCATACACTGTGCCTCTTTTTGCTTTCTAGCAAAAACATTTGCTTTTACCTACAGGGTGTATTTTTATTTTCCTATAAAATGCCTTTTAAACTTGTATTATTGGCAAAAACTGTTAATAATATTATATTAGGTATGTATATTCAATTTAAAATACCCATGTTGCCCTTTCGTCCCTTCATTTTATTTTCTTCTATGTTTAATAGTATATTTATTTTCTTTTCCAAAATAAATAGAGTGTAAATTTCCTCTCAGAAAAAAAGTCCCCTCTACCTTGTTGAGCCCTTTACCCAAAACCTACTGTTTCTATTTTTTTAATGTATTTATTGAACCCAAAAAAACAAACGTTCATAACAGGTTAACATAAATATAAAATAAAATAAGGCTTTTTGTGTTTAACAAAATAATATAAATATACAATATATACAAAATAAATTAAAGTGTGTTATTTCTAGATAATAAATAATTTTTTATAGCTCTGTTAAAGTTTATAACATCTAAGTCCTTAATACTATTTGGGAGTTCATTGTACCATTGCACAGCCGTAGTAGTTACTCTCTTCTTTCCAATGTTTTTTGAACTTGGTAAAATATAAAAGTTTTGGTTTGTAAGTATTGTAATGGTGAATATCACAGTTTTGCACCTATGTTATGTCAGTCTCTAATATATTATTTTTTATTTTATGTACAAGTTTAAGACTTTCTAATTTGACAATATCACACACTTTAAGAAGATTTAGTTCGCTATACAGCTCATTAGTTCCATAACACATAGGTTTACAAAACAACACTTTTATGAATCTGTTCTGGGTAACTTGTAGTTTTTCGATATCCTGTTTTCTGGTTTGTCCCCAAAATGCTGCTAAGTATGACATAACTGAGTGAACATAGGCAGAGTATATTTTGAATTTCGTTACTTGATTGAAAAATTTGGCTGAATGATATAGGGAATAGATCAATTTATTTATTTTGCTCCGTATTCTTTCTACATGTTTGTCAAACAGTAATTTGTTGTCTAATATCAAACCTAGGTACTTTGCAGTAGTCATCTCCTTAAGTATACTGTTGTTGATTGTTAAGCATTTATCAGTTACTTGGGATTTCTTGTTGAAAACGAGATAGTTGCATTTGGATTCATTAAGTCGGATGTTACTTTGCTTTGTCCATTCTGTGATGGTATCCAGGTCCTGCTGAGCATCTTCATATATTTTTTGCATTGTACCCGAATAGAAAAGAGCAGTATCGTCGGCAAAGAGTGTTAAGTTTCCATTAAGTTTCATATTGGTCAATTGATTTATATAGATCAGGAAAAGAATAGGTCCTAATACACTTCCTTGCGGCACTCCACTGATGATAACCTCATTGATGCTTTTGATGCCATTTACCGTAGTATACTGCCTTCTATCTGTAAGATAACTTTTGAAAAGTTCAAGTGGTTTACCTTTTATTCCAATAGATTTTAATCTGCTTATCAAAATATTGTGATCTACTACATCGAATGCTTTTAATCTGCTTATCAAAATATTGTGATCTACTACATCGAATGCTTTTTGAAGATCCAAAAAGCATGCCATTACTGTATGTCCATTATCAATCTTTGTATATACATATTCCAATAGGGAAGCTACTGCTGTTTGAGTATTTCGTTTATTTAAAAATCCATTCTGGTGCATATTGAAGAAATTTATATTTTTTAGATAGTTAAGCAGTCTTGTTTTTAAGGCTACTTCAAATATTTTAGCAAGTATTTCTAAGAGCAAGCACATAATTTAAAAATTTAAAAGCAGAAAATAAGTTGAACATGGTCTAAAATTTAAAATTCTTTAAAAGTATTTAAAAAATAAGACAAATATTTTTTAAACACAATTTTGGTTTTATTTTATAATCTTTATTATTTATTAAATAGTATTTTTTTTAATTATCTAGGTATTATATTAAAAAGTAAACATTTATGTTTTTTAATTTAAAAATATAAATCAATAAATATTTTCACCCAAGTTCAATGTTAGGGGTAATTATTTTACAATGAAACTAAAGAAAGTTATAAATCAATTGATTTGAAGTATTCAGCTTTTCAATTAGACAAAAAAACAGCAAAGATATTTGATATAATTAAATGGTAATTTTATGTTTAAAAAAAAATAATATTTTTTAATTATATTGTAACGTTTTTACTGTTCGTAGTGTGAATTAAAACACGCACTGGTTTATTAACTAAACTATTTATTTTATAACTTAATTACACTTAACACACTAAGAAACTATAAAACTAACTAAACACTTGCTACAATATCTTTGTTATAAGTAGGTATGTTTACCTTCTGAAATTATTTTTTTATATAACTACAAACAAAAATACTGTCTATTTTTATTCATATTTTAAATCAGTCGTTAACGACTGATATCAACCGATTTACATTTTAGATGATTTTATTGGCCAAACAACAAATCTAGTAAACCATGAATTATATTAGCGAAATTATTTTCAATGGTTAAACCCAAATGTCACAAATTTCAAATAAATCTTGATGAAATTTTAATTGTTTTATGTCTAATTTAAAATGTCAATGTATAGAAATCGACTTTTTTTAGGGAAAATATAAACGTTGAAAGATAATTACCCAAATTGTTTTATAAAACAACAGTTTTAAAAGAAAAATACTGCGTTGCCATGTCATGCAAAAACATATATCCATTGATATGCTAAATCAATTGATATAAATAAATTAACGTTTCTGCATACGGCCCCAGGGTTTTAATGAATTTTAAAATCATAAAAGTAAGGTGATTAACCTAATATTATACTACTTTAGGTATGACTTCTTTGAGGAAGGGTTAAACCAAAACTTGGCGTTACAAAAGATGAAACGGAAACGGCGCGCGCACATGCCATCGTCGAACAAAATTCGAACAGTAGCACAAATTTGCACAGTAGTACACAATTAAGAAATAGTACAAATTCGAACAATGGTTCAAAATTTAAAAAATGTGAAAAAAATTGCAAAAGTATAAATATAAAAATGGTGAGACAAATTTGCAAACAAAATAATTTTTGCTCATGTATGGCTGTAACAATAAAAAGTCAATAAAATCAAGTGTCCCGCGTTTAAAAATTTGCCACATTGTTTTGTTTTGCAACTGTCTAAACCAGTTTATTTTATAACAGTTTAAGAATAATTTAAAGAAATTTTGGGGCAGTTTTGAGACCTTTTAGACAGTTCTAGGACAGTAAAAATCTTACCTCGTGCATGACTCCTCCAATGTTAAACAATATATCCTGCATAGAACAAGTAAAATTAACATCTCCTCCATTAAATTGCTGCAGTAAGGCATCAATAACAGCAGGATCTCCTAATCTAAGCAATTGTTCTGGAGCTTTGGGTCTCTGTTTTTCAACCATGCAATTGTGGAACCACTGCTCAAACAGCGAATCTCCTGCGCTTTTTGATAAAACAGAAAGTCCATATTTTTGCAGAATGGAAACCAAAATTATGAAAGTGTTGTCGAAAAGAAGAGCTTTTCGTTTTTCGTCGTTTACTTTTACTGATCTTTTATTGAAAATGATTAGTTGATTTACAAGATGTGTTATCTGGCCCTGTACTGTGGCCACAGCCAAAATGAGTTCCAAACTTTTACCTGTTAGAACTTGATGAAGCATACCCAATAAAGCATCCTAAAAAATATACAATTAAAATTGTCAATTTATCATTAACACTTCTGATCAAAAATATAGAATTTTTTTAGAAATATTATCATTATACCTAATTAGTCCTAATTTAAAACTTCTAAATAAAAATACCTGAGCTCAAGGCGTGAGAAAAAAATAATTTCGTGATTTAATATAAAACTAAGTGGCGCGGACATGCACACAGAGCATTAGGCGCGCGTTATGGTAAAGTTACAAGTGATAATTTGAATGGAACTAACCTCTTACTTTTAGCACACTGAAAAAACAGCGTTCAAAAATGTTTGTGGTTCCTTAATTACTTTGTTAATTCTAGGTTCAACATTTTAATTTTTTTTCTAAATCGCTAATTTTGGTTGGTTTCTTGTTGGCTAAATGATACTGGCCTATATAGAGTTGGCACAACCATTCAGCTTGGAGTTTTGTGTTTAAAGAGTTCTGTTTTATTTTGAATAATTTAATTTAGTAGGTACCTATACATATTTCCTCATAAAAATATTTCATTACATTAATACATTTACCTTTTTTTATTCATCTTAACCTTAATTGAATCAGTGAGATTAAGAACAGTACAAGTCCAAAAGTTAAAACTTGATCGAATTATTTTATTAAATCCGTTTTATAGTTGAAAATGCATTTTTGTGAGAATATTTCAACTATTTTATAAAATGTAATTATCAAATTTTGTAACATAATTTTTCTACTCCTATTACGAAATATGACCATTCTAATATCACCTTTTAATGTGGAATGACGTATATTTCTTAAAGTATTACAGAATAAATTATTCTATCATCAGACAACGGAATAAACACTGGAGGCGGCATCTCTGTGTTTAATATCTAACAAATTTAGACCGAACCAACCTCACTTACAACTCGGCCAATGTAGAAAGAGACTTCAGATATGAACCTTGTGCGCAAATTTTAAAGAGAGAACGCATTCGGAAGAAAAGAGATCCATGATACGGCCGAGATCGGCCGCACAGAGGACTAAAATCCTCAAAAAGCGGTTTTACGTGGTATTTGTAAAATTTTAAATTATTAAGTTATAAAATAGTTAGAACACAGCATATGCTAAAAAATTATAAAAGTGTAATGGATGTAACTAATAAAGATTTTAATGACAACTACGGGCCGTGTAACAACATTATTAAAGATATAAATATCTTAAATTTAAGAGTAAACAATAGTAAATTTTCGATTTACTTTGAATTTTTTAAATTTACTTATACAATTGGAATAGATCAAATAAATAAAATTTTCTACCTTAATATTGATGGGGTATTAATAAATATAATTATACTTAAGGTAAACAAGAAATGTTTTAAAGTTAAGGTATGTATTATGTATTAGGGTTAGGTAAGTTTTTATTGATATAAATGAACCGGCTTTGGATGTTGTCGTGGATGATTTAGTTATTAATTTTCAAGGGGACAGTGACAGCGAGGTGACCAGCGACAGCGACAGCAGTTCGGACGAACTTGATCCATTTAAAAAAAAAGTTGTTATATTTAATAAATAGTATTAATAGATACTAATAATAATAAATAGTATTAATAGATAATATCACAATGTGGATTGTGGATAATATAATATACTTGATTTACTTTAATTTTAATCCACTGTGCGCAACGTTCTTTACGATACGACAACTTCAATGCAAATGATTATTTTAAGAGCTGGTCACTGCGCTTCGATGGGCGTAAACTTTTGAAGTGTCAAGCTAGATTTGCCAAGTTGTACTCCCAATTAAATTATTTTTCTATGGTATTTTTTGGAAACGTATACGTTCTATAGAAAAAGTAGTTTGGAATTGCATATTTCGCTCTCGTGAAACCATCAAACTCGCCTTCGGCTCGTATTCCAAACTTATTACAGAATATACTATTATATCTTCTTACAAAAATGCATTTTGAACTTTTAAATTGATTTTAGAAAATGATGTCAAAATAAATTTTTTGGACTTGGACTGTTCTTAATCTCACCGATTCAATTATACCTGCAGGTAGAATGTGTGCGCACATTCTACGCATGCGCAACTAAGCTTTTTATTTCAGATCTTATACTCTGCGCTCATTTGATCACAGAGGGAAACTTAAATGCGTTAAGAACTTAGAACTCATAAAAAATAACATATAAGCTCATATGATCTCAGGATTGCTGTGCGGGACCTCATATCTATTTGTTTATACCATTGTTTAATTTAAATTTTAAACAAAATAAATAAATTAATAAATCAGGTATTTTTAAGTTTGTAAAACAGAAAAATTTTAACTTTAATAATACACCTAAATTTAGAACCAAAAAATCCAAAATAGCAGCTTTACTAGAGATCTTAAATAAAAAACATAAAAAAGACCCAGTAGGTATATAAAATAAATAGTTCATAATATTGTAACACAGTACGACAAAATTTTGTCTCAACGTTTTTTCAGATCACGTCATTTTTTTTTTAAGTGCGATCCAATAAAATGTTATCCACGGTATTCAGCACATAATATAACTGAATAAATGGACAACCATTAAAATTATTTATTTATTTTAAAATTATTTTAAATTATGTACAGGGTGTTGCACATTTTCGAAATACGGTGTTTCACGTTCGTGGTCCATTAAGACTTTTTGAGGAACGGCAAAAGATATCGATTTGAAATTAGTAAAGCGTTTATAATCCAATTTAGCCTATTTTTTTTAAATATTTTAAACAAAATGCCACTTCCGGAAGTGACATCAACTTTGTTATTTTAAATAGAACACCCCATATATCCATATATTTTTACATTTTAAACACTACATAAAATTTTGAATAAAATGACTGTACCGTGTCCTATACCTAAAATAAATAGTAAATGAATAGTTTTCGAGTTATTAATTTTTTCCGTTAAAATATGACAAATGCGCGTCATTCAAAAATAGCCTAAAACTTTCTTGCTATTAGGTTTGCGGAAATGGGGGTGGAATTTTTATACATTGTTTAAAAGATTCCATCATGGAAATTCCATGTCAATTCCTTAACATACCGGGTGTTACATTTAAAATAAAAAAGCTATTAACGTTTCAAGTTAGCCCAATTTGCCCTGGGTTTTCTCGGGTAATTTGTTGAAAAATGTTAAATAATTGACATGGAGTCTTTTAAACATTGTTTTAAGATTCCAAACATTTTACCCTATATCCGTAAACCTAATAGCAAACATCTAGAAAACTATTCACTTTAGGTAGGTATAGGACATGGTATAATAATTTTATCCAGAATTTTAGGTAGAATTTAAAAATGTAAAAATATATAGGGTGTTCTATTTGAAATAACAAAGTTGATGTCACTTCCTGTCAAACCGGAAGTGTAATTTTGTTCAAAATATAATAAAATAGACTTAATGGATTATAAACGCTTTTAAATTTGAAATCGATATTTTTTCAGTTCCCCAGAAACTTCCAATGAACCCCTGTATATCAAGTGGTGTTTTTAGGTTGTGATACCACTATAGATTCGAAAGCAATGTATAATCGTCAAACAAAAAGGTCAAGATTTCCAACATATATTTAATATAAAATAAATACAAATTTGTTGTTTTATTAAAAAAAATCAAAACCATAAATATTTTTTTTAATTAAAAAAATAAAATTGTTATTTTCTTTAAGTATAGGGGGGGCATTCCACGTTACTCGGTAATTTTTGTCCCGCCCGTCACAATTAAAAATTGTGAGTAAAAACCACAGGTTATAAAATTAATATTTTATAATATTATTTTTATTGTGCTTATAACTTATTAAAAAGCATAATAAAACAATATTTTTAAATAAATTTTATAACGTGTAGTTTTTACTCCCAATATTTAATTGTGACGGGCGGGACAAAAATCCCCGAGTAACGTGGAATGACCCTATAATATTTGAAGAAAAAAAAGATTTATAACAAAACAGAGAATTAAAAATATGTTTAGGTTAAAATAATAAGAATGGATGTGTAAAAAATTTAAATGACCTGATTTCGTGAAACGGTGAGACACGGGTAAGTTTTTTTAACCTTTATTTTTAAAATCTGTTAAATTTTTTCATGGGAGGAAAATCGTGTTGTACTGTGTAATTTTAAAACATTTGCAAAATGGTTATGGTGGTATAATGAAAAATTCAATTTTCAAATTTTTAATATTTTAAATTTTAATTTAATTTTAAATATTTTACCTGATTTTTCTGATAATCAGTAGAAAATGTCTTAAGAATTCCATTTAAAGAAGACTCAGCGCATTTAATAACATTGGGTATCCCCTTATTCCCCTCTGTTGCCATTGTATTATCCCTTTTCTCCAATATATGCCTTATCTGCGGCTCAGTTATAAGCCTGGCTTTAATAAGCTCTTCAAGAAAACATTTTAAACTTGACAGCAAAAATATGGCATCCATTGCATCTAACAAAGGGCTGTGTTGCAGCATAACTTCAACAGCATTGACAACACTACTACCATCTGTTTTGCCAGCTAATTCCATGAGGATGTAGGGGACTTTAAGGTATGCTACAGCCCCCCATTGGCCCTCTTGTGGAGTTTTAGTCACGTTGTATAACGATAACAAACTTCCTCTTATTAGTTCAGCATAAAGTCTTGTGTTATTGTAACCTTTTAGTATTTGAAATAGTCTTAGTTGTTCTACTAGAACAGCTGTGGAAGCACAAGGATTTCCAATGAGTTTTACTATCAACCAATACTGTATTAATGAACCAGGCCATTTCTCACTTTCCACTGGAAGACAGAGCATATTTGTATCAATGCTTTCCAACTTTCTGACATATTTAAATGTATCCTCAGTGACATTATCAGTGGATAAAAGCTCGGCACAATGTCTACTGGTCTCTGTAAACAACTCTGGGTCATTATATCTTGCCAAACACATCATTGAGACATAAAAATCATCAGTCATCAGTGTTTGAAGTAAAGAACTGGCTTTTAATAGCAACTGTGGTGAAGTTTTGCATTGCTGTAAAATATTAACCAACCACAAAGCAGTTGACATTACAGCAGTAGCCAGAACCGTCTCTTCAGGTTTCCCACAGCATGTAACTCCTGGCAACATACCCTCTAGAAACTCCAAAAGACTGTAAACACAATGTACTTTTGATAACTGATTGTATTTGCTTAATCTCTGCAAAACTGCTGCATGAGACACAAGTTGTGAGCTTAAAGAATGTTGTAGATAGCTTAAAACTAATTGGTTGGCTCCTGCACCCACAACGGCTTGTTGTAGTATGCAATCAGCCAAGTTGTATACATCACCACTGACTCCCCTTGGTAAAACTGTTTTGATGTTAATGCCCCATTGCAGATCAGTCCATCTTTCTCTCCATGCTCGAAGTAATAAATTTTTTAAGCAGCTTGTTTTGCTTGTCGTTTTTGATTCCATCACCATTTTATATACAATATTAATTTAACATTCTTAAATAACAGTAAAAGTCAGGGTACTATAAAGAAAAACACTTAACACTGTATTTTTAGCACTCTAGTAACCAAGTTTTTATTAAAAATAATGCAGGAATTCTTGTCCGGAACAACAAAAATAAACCCGGAATATAAACAAGTTTTATTGGTTTTAAATGTTAGTAGGTTGGTAATACCAACTTGGTATTGACAAATCACTAATATTTTAAGGTCTGTATGCACTGATCTGTAAGTATTTGTTCTAATGAATAAGTTTCAGTATAATTAAAGGTAAACGTTTTTAGAATTTTAGCAATTTTACGAAGAGCTACTCGGTCACCCTTAAATGACTTTTGATTGCATAATTAGGGGAGTTTTCTTAATCTTAAAAAAATTGTGAAGAGTCCCCCTAATTTTAACCAAATGTCAATATTTTCACTTTATAATGTTGGTGCTAAACTAACCTTTAAATTTAATTTAACCTCAAAATTTTGTCCTCAAAAAATACCCCTAAAATAAGTGAATATCTTTGGCCAAATAGTTCACTAATAGGCTAAAGACAAAAAAAAATTTGAAGAAAAAGAAGTGAGTTTGTTCTGTTTAAACGTTTGTGAATGTTAATGTATACATGACTATAGTTTCACTTCCATAATGCCCAAGGAGCAGTACCGCGAGACAGATGTGGCGAGAAAAATGTAAGATTAGTATTATTAGATAAAAAATCTGTTTTAAAATTAACATTGCTTTAATTTTCAGCTCCCATGTCAGTTTTGGGGTCGAAAGTGCTGAAACTATGCAGCAGCAAAGTCATATTCAAGTTGTTGCTAAGAATTTGTACAATCAGGACATACAACGTACACCAGTACCTTATGGGGTTTTAGATAAGAGATTAGTAAGTTGTTTGAGATTTTTTTGATATGTGGAGTGAAATATACAGGGTGTAAAGTTCTGTTATTATATACTTTTAGTATAAACTCTTCTTAAAATTACTTCTACATTATCCTTTTGTATTGGAAAATCATGTAATAACCTGTATGTTTTTTCCTTTTTATGTTACATACCTATTCCAAAACTTTTTTGTATTAAAACTTTATCTTTATATTAAAAACTTCAACACATTGAAAATAACTTAAACAGGGCTCCCACACCTCCTAAAACTCATAAAATTCCTAAAATTTTGCTTAAATCTTCAAAACTCCTAAAATTCTCCTAAAATTGCCTTCAATCTCCTAAAAATCCTAAAAATTAAATTTAAATAGGCCAACCTGACTGCGTTTAATTAAGGTAGTGCTAAAAAGTAGGTAATTTAAAAATTTATATATTTAGGTTCTATTTTATTAAATTCTTTTTAAAATGATCTAATATCACAACTAAAATTTTTCTTAAAAAACAACATAAAAACTTCTACAAAATTGTCATTTTTAGCGATATTTCGTTTTTTAGTCAAAAATATACCGTGTTATATACCAAACAAAATGATTTTTAATTTTCTTTTAAATGACAGCTAAAATAGTAAACAATCTAAAGAATATTTTGCTGTATTTTGCAAACTTCATATTTTGTTATGAGATTTTTAAGTATTAAGATCCACATTACAATTGAATCGGTGAGAATAAAAACAGTACAAGTCCAAAAATTTAATTTTGACAATTTATTTTCTAAAATCAATTTTAAAGTTTAAAATACATTTTTGTTAGAAGATATAAATTATTTTACAAAAAATGAATATTATATTTCATAAAATAGTTAAAATATTCCAACAAAAATGCATTTAGAACTATAAAACTGATTTTTTGAAATATTGAAATATTTTATCAAAAATTTTACTTTTGGACTTGTACTATTCTTAACCTTATCGATTTAATTACTGTTAGTTATTAACTAAACGGTTAACATGTTTTTTCTTAAAATATAAAGATAACATCATTTGATTTTGGCATTAACTAAATCTATCGGCGCATTTTTTTAAATAAAATTAAAAGTGTGGTGAAATTTATACTTGTAGGTATATTTATGTACCTTAGATATATACAAAAGTAGTAATTTTTTCCTCACTTTTGAGTTTATTTAAAAAAAAAACTCGTCGAGCGATTTGGCTAAAAAACTAGTCAATATAAGTTATTGTTACAAAAGAAGTATTATTTTTTTTTTATTTTTTTATTAGTAAAGAGATGTTTTTATTTAATTAAAGAAATTCATTTCCATACTTTATTTCTCCTAAAATTTTACAAAAAACCTCCTAAATTCCTAAATAAAATTTGTAATCTAGCCGTGGGAGCCCTGCTTAAATTTGAAAATATAGAAACTTTTTGGATGCAACATTACCACATGTTTAAGTTAAAGTACATATGAACCTTTATAATGTTATTTCTTAGGGTACAAATTCTAAGGATTCCAATTGTCAGACCTGTGGCAAAAACATCAATGAATGTGTTGGACATTTTGGCTACATTGATTTAGAATTGCCAGTTTTCCATGTTGGATATTTCAGATCAATTATAAACATTCTACAATCTATTTGCAAAAAATGTGCACATGTTCAATTGCTGCAAGATGACAAAAATCTCTATAGGTCCCGTCTTGCCAATCCAAACTTAAGTTACATGACTAAAAAGAGCATAAGAAAGAAAATTATTGAGAAATGTAAGAAATTAAATAAATGTCCAAATTGTAAGTCTAGCAATGGGTTTGTTAAGAAAATGACTGCTAGTAAGGGCGGCACTGGGAATTCTGTTTTGAAAATTGTACATGAGATGCACAGAGGAAGGGACAAGGATTCTTTAATGAAAGAACAGCTAGGTAATATTACACTTTATTTGGATTAAATTTTAAACAATCATTGTTTAAAATTATTATGGTATTTTTTTTTTTTTTGTAAGTATCAATTATTGATTATGTTTTAGTAGGTTATAAAAAATGTCTCTGCCTCACCTTTATACATACACTTCTGAAGGAGATGATAGGATTTGAGTTTTATAGTAATGATTAGATATGTGTTAATATAATATAATATTTACTTACATATTTTGTTATGTTCTGTTACATATTTATAAAAAATTTCCCAGTTACTGATTAGTTACCTACTTATAAGTTACTAACTAGTAACTACCTGGACAACATTCCCGGACAACATTCGTGATATTCATACGAACATCATGTCGTGTTTTTCACAAATTTTATTCATACTGATATCATACGGAAGTCACCGCGTGATAAATGAAAATCATACGAACGTCACGTCGTGATTTTCACAAATTTTATTCATACGGACATCATCGGGATGTCACTACGTGAGAAATGAAAATCATGTCGCGATTTTTTATGCCATCGCTGTTTGCGATTGACCAATGGCCTAAAAAATCATGTCGTGATTTTTTATGCCAACGGTGTTTGGATAATCATTTTTGTGCCATGTTCGTACACTAAGATCAAAATTATGTTGAATCAACAGTTTTTGCAGTTAAATACATTTAATATTTTCTTGGATTTAAATTAACTTTATATATTTTAAATCCAAGAAAATATTAAATGTTAAGCTTTGATTCAATTGTTAACATACTTTTTCTTTCAATGTACGAATGTGTCGCAAAAATGAATATCCAACACTGATGGCATGAAAAATCATGTCGTGATTTTTTATGACCAAACACTGATGGCATAAAAAATCATGATGAACAAAATTTGTGAAAATCACGACGTGACGTTCGTATGATTTTCATTTATTACGCGGGGACTTCCATATGATATCAGTATGAATAAAATTTGTGAAAATCGTATGAATTTCACGAATGTTGTCCGGGTAGGTTTTAAATTCGCAGTTCGCAGGGCTCATAGGCATGCGCAAATTTTGCAAATATCACACCGTGAGTTCTACATTATATCACTGTGATGAAGCATGTGTATGCACTCAGGAATATCACGTTGTGATATCATCATGACTTCACCAGGAAATCCCGATTGTTGTCCGGGTAATTAGTTACTGACTGGTTACTAACTATTTACTAGTTACTAAATAGTTACTGACTATTTTGACTAGTTACTGATTTGTTACTATTTTTAATTTTGGAAATTTTGAAAACTACATTTTTTGAATTTAAAAATTAGAACCATTTCATTTAATACCCATGTCAAGAAGGATGTAGAAATAGGCTTGATTTATTTTTCTCTCTGTTACTTATGCACAGCCACCTCAATAGATGACGTAACCTCTGGACTTCATGCTCTCCTGATCCTTAAAACCGTTTAAAACTTGTCTTCAATATTTTTTTCTCTACGACTCATGATCTCCTGATACTTAAAAGTTTTATGTTAAAACCGATATTTTCGGGCGTTTAATATTTTCCGTGACATATTTTTCGTTTCAATTTTTTGGACTTACACCTCGCTAAAGAAGTTTCACTTTAAATTGTTTTTTTTAGTTCAATCACAAAATTGCATTTTTATTATTAATAATAATAATAATTAAATTTTAGCTGAGTTTAATACTGCCATTGAATGTAATCCAGATATACAATCAGCATTATCTGGTGCAGTAGCTCAAATTTTAACTCCCATTGATGTTTTAAAAATATTTGAAAGAATACCTGAAAGTGATATACCTTTATTGGCTATGGATGCTAAAAAGTAATTTTTTTACACATATTTTGAATAATGTAAATATTGTTATTATGTTTATTTTTTTTAGATCTCATCCTAGAGACTTAATTTTCACTAGAATGTTGGTACCTCCAGTTTCTATTAGACCTTCTGTGGTATCAGAATTAAAGGCTGGAACGTGAGTACAAATTATAATTATAGATTTGTTCTGCAATATTTTTACTGATAATATATTTTTTTAGTAATGAGGATGATTTAACAATGAAACAATCCGAAATTATTTTCATAAATGATGTTATTAAGAAACACAAGCAATCTGGTGCATCTGTTAATATGTACCAAGAGGGTTGGGACTTTTTACAGCTTCAAACAGCTTTATACATTAACAGTGAATTGTCTGGAATACCACTTGCAATGATGGTACGTTTAAATTATAGGCAACATAAAAGTTATTTGAAGTATATGGTTAATAATAGTTAGGATGAAAAAAGGCTATATAATCTTTTTTGTTCTTGCATCCCGGACAACATTCGTGATATTCATACGAACATCACGTCGTGATTTTCACAAATTTTATTCATACTGATATCATACGGAAGTCACCGCGTGATAAATGAAAATCATACGAACGTCACGTCGTGATTTTCACAAATTTTATTCATACGGACATCATCCGGATGTCACTGCGTGAGAAATAAAAATCATGTCGTGATTTTTTATGCCATCGCTGTTTGCGATTGACCGATGGCACAAAAAATCATGTCGTGATTTTTTATGCCAACGGTGTTTGGATAATCATTTTTACGCCACGTTCGTACACTAAGAGAAAAATTATGTTGAATCAACAGTTTTTGTGGTTAAATAAAAATATTCAATATTTTTTTGGATTTAAATTAATAGTTAATTTACATTCAAGAAAATATTAAATGTATTTGACCGCAAAAACTGTTAATTCAGTTGTTAACATACTTTTTCTTTCAATGTACGAATGTGGCGCAAAAATAAATATCCAAAGATGTCGGTGCACCGATGGCATAAAAAATCATGTCGTGATTTTTTATGCCAACGGTGTTTTGATAATCATTTTTGCGCCACGTTCGTACACTAAGAGAAAAGTTATGTTGAATCAACAGGTAACAAAGTAGGTTTTAAATTCGCAGTTCGCAGGGCTATTACGCATGCGCAAATTTTGCAAATATCACACCGTGAGTTCTACATGATATCACTGTGATGAAGCATGTGTATGCACTCAGGATATCACGGCGTGATAAAAAAACTCACGTTGTGATATCATCATGACTTCACCAGGAAATCCCGATTGTTGTCCGGGATGTTTATAGCCTGTTGTCTTCATAAGTTAAAAATAAAAATGTGTTCTAGTTTAGCTTGTCTGTAACTTTTGTTTGGACATTATTACAGTCAATTTTAACAAATTTTGCTCTTATTTAACAGCCTAAGAAACCTGGTAGAGGCCTTGTGCAGCGTCTAAAAGGTAAACAAGGTAGATTCAGAGGTAACCTATCTGGTAAACGTGTGGACTTTTCATCGCGTACCGTAATATCGCCGGATCCCAATTTGGAAATTGATCAAGTTGGTGTCCCCATGCACATCGCTAAGATTTTAACGTTCCCCGAAAGAGTAATCCAAGCAAATATAAACGTCTTACGTAAATTAATAATAAACGGGCCTGATAAGTGGCCAGGAGCTAACTATGTGCAGCAAAAGGGGTCTGCTTTTAAGAAGTTTTTGAAGTATGGTAACAGGGAGAAATTGGCACAAGAACTAAAGGTAAGAATTTTAATGATATCAACAATTGTGCTGTATACAACAAAAAGGCAATAATGTCATATTTCTAATATTTTTATTAGCTTGGTGACATGGTAGAAAGACATTTACATGATGAAGATGTAGTTCTTTTTAACCGTCAACCCAGTTTACATAAACTGTCCATTATGGCCCACCGAGCTAAAATTCACCATCATAGAACATTTAGGTTTGTAAAAATATAAATGCAATTTATTTTACCTTATAATGTATTTTTATACTTTTTTTGTAGATTCAATGAATGTGTTTGTAATCCTTACAACGCTGATTTTGACGGTGATGAAATGAACTTGCATTTACCACAAACTGAAGAAGCAAAAGCTGAAGCATTAATTTTAATGGGAGTAAGTCCAATTTATAGATTTTCCAATTTATAGATTTTCCTACTAAAGCAGTCTAGACCCATGCCAATTTTATATAGGTAGTAAAAAACACCATATAACATAAAACCACATTTACCTATGTAGTAGAAAAAATATGTAACTTAGAAGATTATGATAATATCTTGGCTAATAAAACTGTCCTGTTTAGCATTTTCACTCCACAGCGATTAGCGTAAAAGCTTTCATATTTAACTCACTAAACCGCATTTTTATAAATTTTAAAACGATCTTTTACACGCAACTTGTGTTGTTGGTAGTGTTATCAAGTATTTATAGGCCAATATTAGGGTTCTATAAGCCTCTATATAAATTGTATTTTATTAAAACCTAGCAGCAATATTTTCCAAGCTTTCTTAAATTTTGTCAATTTAAAAGCGCAGTCCAGCAGTCTTTAAATCACTTAAGTGGAATGTTATTTGCACTGCAAATTCACGTTATGCAAATTCACGTTATATTCGAAAATTTATAATTATAGGGACGGCCAGGATGCAATTATTAAGTGTATCAAATGTTAAGAAGAAGATAAATTGGCAGCTAGCGCTAGACCGAATTTTACATTTTTTAATGTGAAAGGTAACAAAATTATAAAAATGCATTTATACAGCTAATAATAACGCACGCCCGCTTTAAAGTGTCAGAAGTAAAAAAAAATCTCAAAACTGCTTTTTTTACTTGTGACTCTTTTGAAGCGGGTTTCCGATACAATAGTGTTTTAATTTATTAGTAGGTAAGAATTTAAAAAAATATGTGGTTAAGCCGCGTCTACAATTGTTGCAGGTCGCAGATCGCAGAACATAAGCCTGCGCAAAGCACCCAGCGGCGCACTATGGTTTATCGGCGGAAAAAATACATTTTTAAAAACTTTTTATTATGGGTATTTTTATGACAATAATTTGTTAAAAACATCTTAATAGAATGGATTTTGGCAAAGAATTATTTTAAGATAGGTAATTATGTTTTGATTTTATGACACCTCAAAGTAGAATGTTTTTAAAACAGTAAAATTGGTTAAAAATTACTCAAACATTTAATAAACTATATCTTTTAACAGTAAATAATAAAAAAATAAATATTTCTTTGCAATAAAAAAGTCTATACAGTAAATTAAAAACCTGTATGTATTTTTATTGAAATATAGTTAATTATACTCAATAATCCTTATATAATACAGTCAAAAAGAAAAAAATTGATATTTATTTTCAATAAAAAAGTTTGTGAATTATTTCTGCAAAACAGTGCTTTATGATAACCTAAAAACTCCTATTTAACACATTAAAAAAAGAAAAAATTAATATTTATTTGTAATAAAAAAGTTATTGAATTTTTCCGCAAAACACTGCTTTGTGACCATAGTGCGTCGCTGGGTGCTTTGCGCAGGCTTCTGCGACAATTGTAGACCCGGCTTTAGGGTAAAAAGTTACTATATGTAAGTACCTAACAGAAAATTGGGTATACAATTTTTGGTATACCCAATTTTCTGTTACTGTTTTTTATTTTTCTCTTGCATGCATATATCCACTGTGCTGCCAGATCTTTATTTTTTGGAAATCGAAAATATTTAATGTTAGCTTGGGTTGGGTGTTGGAGTTTCTGTTTATATTTCTGCTGTCTGCAACAGCACAGCCCGGCATATTTTAAATAGTTATTAAGAACAACAAATATAACACAAACTTAATAAATAACCTGGTATAAAACACCATTGCGTGTCTTATAAATACCTTGTAAATAGTTATTGCTTTTCAATAAATGCAGTAAGACCTTTTCGAAAAACGTTGAAAAACCATCGTGCGTGGCTTATGCTTTAAAAAACACAATAATTTCGGAAAAAACTAAAAAAAAAACGTAGTAAAACACCCGTGCATACGGTATGCCTATGCAAAACTGTTTGTAACATTTGAATCTGGTTCGAACGTGACATCACATGCGCGGAGTCGACGAGAAAAACGGTACAGTCAATTTGTCGAAAAATTAGGGAGTACATAGAAAATATTCCCAGTTGGCTTGATTTTGGATATGTTATTCCTGGGGGTCTAAAGGCTAAAGTGTCAATTTCCACCTTTTTAAAAAAGTTTTACTTTGTTTTATCTCTTTCTATTTGATATTTAGCATTTTTAACATTCCTACTATTCCATCGTCACCAATTTTCTAGCTATCGGAGAACGACCAAAGGGTATTCAAACTTTTTATATTTTTTACAGTTATTTTAAAGATCTACAATTACTTTTAGTCCATAATTCTCGTGATCCTAAAAATAGTCAAAATTGACCTCCTATCCTTCCCTTGTGACAGAGTATGACGATGTGAAGAGCCCCCCCCAGGAGTTATTTGACAAATTATCGAATCCCCGTCCCCCTTATTTTTTTTGGTAACTTTTTGTACTTAAATACTATATAATCGTCTGACTAAAAATAAAAATTAGCCATTTTATTCTATTTACTTTGTCACGTGACATGTTAAAAAAACCCTCCCCCTCGGACTTGACAAATTGTGACGGCCCCTTATGCTGCACTCTACAACTATATTTAGCATTTAACATTGTTATTCAGGATATCACCTTGACATGACTTTTATCTTTTAGAACAAGAGTAACTTAGTTACACCCAGAAACGGAGAACTCCTCATAGCAGCTACACAAGATTTCCTGACTGGAGGTTACTTGCTGACCAAAAAAGACACGTTCTTGGACTTCGCGCACGCTTGCCAATTAGCAGCCACCTTATTGGCCGGCAAAGATATGCACATGAACATCGACCTGCCGCCTCCTTGCATAGTAAAACCAAAACGATTGTGGTCGGGAAAACAGATTTGCAGTCTTATATTTAGACCGAACTCCAAATGTCCGGTTAAGGCGAATTTGGAGTGCAAAGGAAAAGCATACACGCACAATAGAGAGATGTGCGTTAAAGATTCCTATGTGCTTATTCGTAATTCGGAGTTAATAGCGGGGACGTTGGATAAAAGTCACTTGGGTAATGGTAGCAAGGGTGGAAATATTTTTTATGTAATTCTCAGGGATTTTGGGCAGGAGTTTTCTATAAGGTCCATGTGGAGATTAGGTAAATAACAATAGTTTACAAAATCAAAAAAAAAATCTGCCCCCATATCCCATTATAATTTTTCCATGTATTTTGACCCACTAAACACGAAAATCACAACAAAAAAATTTAATGGAAGCGTTTTTGAAATATGAATTTTTAATTGTTTTTTTTTAATTTTCGGAGGTGTTTTGACGTTTTTGAGTATAGCTTGAAATCTAATTGATCGATTTGGTCAAACAAGCCCTTAAATTGAAGGTATTTGAGCCCTCTAAAACTTTATTTTACATACTTTTGATATCGGATAAGTATTTTGACGCTAGCGATTTTAATAACTTTTTTCGTTTTTATGGCAAAAATTCAGGTCGAAAATTTACATATCGTCCTGGTAAAGGTTTAAATCAAATAGATAACTCCAGTTTGAATTTTTTTTTCGTGAAGCTGACATTTTTACAAAAAAAAACAAGCGAATGTTGATAAAAATACATGAAAAAAATTGTTAGTTATGAATTTTTTATTGGAAGACCAAAATTCAGCTTTTTGACAATTTTTATTTTATCTTTTTTCTTTTATTTCGTAATATGTTTATTTTTTAATGAAAACCTAATTAAAGTGCATGATTGGAATTTTTAAGTTTTTTACGTACTTTTTTTACCGAAAACATTACCTATATATAAAATTTAAATTTGACGTAAGTTATGTCACATAACTCCGCAAACGTGAATTCTTTTGTTTCTCGTGTTGGCATAGTGACATTTTACTGTTATTTTTTGATATTTTAACAAAGTATTTTTATCATGGTTTTATTTAGTTAATAAAAAGTGTAAAATAAGTAGAAGAAGTAGAGAGTTCGAGTGCGTAAATAACCCGGACAATCTGGGCGACGTTAGTGATGAGCACGGAGAAAGTTTTCACCAGCAAATGAAGGCTATGGAGCGGCGGTATCACGGCTTCTGGGATGCAGCCATGATGGGTGATTACATTTAGTCCCTTATACGAGAAACGGAATACGAAAGCAAAAAAAGGAGCCAGATTTTTCTTAAACCTATGCTTATTACAACAAAATAAAACTTTCAATATCTTTAATGTTCAATATTCAATATATAATTTAATTTCAATATTTAATGTTTAAAATAAAAATCAATGTTCAATATTAAACTTTATATAACTCAATAAAATGGAAAAAACGTAAAAATTCTCGAAAAAACTGAATTTTGGTCTTTCACTGAAAAATTCATAACCATTTATCCATGGATTTTTATCAACAGCAGCTTATTTTTTTTCTTTAAGTATAGTCCATACGTAAAATAAATCAAACTGGACTTTTTATTTTCGATTTCTATCTTTCCCAGAAAGATATGTAAATTTTTGACCTCGATTTTTGTAAAAAAAAGGGCTTTTCAACTTCATAAAATCGCCAGTATCGAACTACTGAGCCAATACCAAAACTATACAAGAGAAAGTTGCAACTTTACATGTAGATGACTCAATTACCTTTGATTTAAGTGCTTGTTTGGTCAAATCGATCAATTTTAACTCGAAGTATACTCTAAAACGTCAAAACACCTCAGAAAATTAAAAAAAAAACAATTTAAAATTCATATCTCGAAAACGCTTCCATGAAAAATTTTTTGTGTGATTTTCGCGTTTAGCGAGTCAAACTACACAAGAAAATAATAGTGAGACATGGTGGGCAAAATGGCTGTAAACTAGTGTAATTTAATGTGTTTTATTGGAATTCTGATTAATGGATTTTGTAGCAAGACTAACCTCATACTACTTAATGAATGCTGGATTTTCAATTGGTATTGGAGACGTTACTCCAGGCGAGGAGTTGGTTAGAAGAAAGGACAAACTATTAAGAGATGGCTATGCAAAATGCGACGAATACATTAAACAAATGGCAGACGGTAAATTGCAATGTCAACCAGGTTGCACCGCTGAAGAAACCTTGGAAGCAGTAATTCTTAAGGAATTGTCGGTGATTCGTGAACACGCTGGTCAGGCTTGTGTGGCTGAATTACATGCTACTAATGGACCTCTTATTATGGCCCTATCAGGATCAAAAGGTATTGATATTATAAATAGTATTTGAAATTGTTTTTTGATTAATGTTTTTAGGTTCTTTTATTAATATTTCTCAGATGATTGCTTGTGTGGGACAGCAAGCTTTGAATGGAAAACGTGTTCCGAATGGTTTTGATGACAGGTCTCTTCCACATTTTCAGCATAATTGTGAGATTTTTTTACTATTAATTTATTGCATTTTAAATTTTATTATATTTTTCTTATAGCCAAAACTCCAGAAGCTAAAGGTTTTGTGGAAAATAGTTTTTATACTGGCCTAACTCCAACCGAATTTTTCTTCCATACTATGGGAGGCAGAGAAGGTCTAGTAGATACTGCTGTAAAAACTGCAGAGACTGGTTATATGCAAAGAAGATTAGTAAAGGTAAATAATTATTACTAAAACTAAAATACCAAAGCATTTCATTTTAATTTAATTAAAATTATTATGTAATTAATTAGAAGTTTTGGTGTAGGTATGTTTATATGGTAAATTAAGATTCTCAAAATAATAAATGGGTCACGAAAAAGGTGATATTGCTTTGAAAAAGTGTTTATAAATTGGGATTCCTGAACCTTTTCTTAAATAAAAAACTAAGGCTGTTAAAAACCGTAAAAAACGAAACCGATAAATCAGTTACAAATAAAATCGTTTTCTGTTAAAATCGATTAACCGAATAATTAAAAACCGGTTAATCGGTTATATGGTTAACCAAAACCGATAAACCAGGATTAAGTATTTATTTTTATGAAAACCAAATACTTACTAAATTTACAGAAACTGACTAAAAACGGGGTAAAAAAACGGATAAACTAATCAGAAAATTCTTATACAATATTTTTGATTTGTAATGTTGGGTCACTTTGAGTATGATTTACTATTTTTATTCGTTTTGATGATTTTTATACAAAAGTTACTTATAGGCTATAAGTTATCAAAATTAAAAACTATAGCTAATTAACATAATAATTGCAATTCTGCAATTTGGATCGCTGCCTGGTCAATGAATTATAATTGAGGAAATGTATGAATTTAGTAGTTACACAATAAGCATTAAAATAGCTAATAAATATAAATAAAAAAGATTAATAGATATTTTACGAAGTTAGTACATTACAGACTTCAAAAACAAAAATGCACTTAAACTAAATATCTTAACAACTTTTATACTTTTTCAGCTTTTTTAGATTAATGTTAAGGATAACCAACATGTTTGCTGTGTTTCCCTTTAGAAAGCTTCTTTTAGCTAAAGCTAAAGATTTTTAGATTATTGTTAAGGAAAACAAACATGTTTAATGTATTTCCCTTTAAACAGCTTCTTTTAGCTAAAGCTATTTTTTTAGCATCAGAAAATAATCACTCTAATGGTGTTGAGGTTCAAGCCAATTCACTTCATATTCTTTCTTAATTTAGTTCCAATGTGTTCAATCCATGAAACGTAATATTTAAAAAAAAATTATTCTTATTAAAAAAAATGTTTTAAGTATAAATACTTTGGTATATTCCAATCTTATACGTTTTATACAAACATATTTTTATTTGCTAAATTAATTAGGTGACTTATTAAATAATTCCAGGGTTGGCATGAATTAATTTAGTTATTTAATTCGTGAATTAATTTAAAAAGTCATTAATTTATTTATGACTTATACTTCTAATTTATGGAATTGAAAAACAATGAAAAAAATGCTTAGATTTTGGAATTTCAAAAATTGTTAAGGGAAAATCTTCTCAAGAAGGAAATTATTAAATTATATATTACAACAAAATTATTTAAAAATGCTTCACTCGTTAAAATAAATATTGAAGTTGGCTTTAAATTAAAATTGGAAAAAAAGAACATTGAAACTGTCTGACATGTCAAATATCAGATAAAATATGAAATAAAATTCCTTGCGTCATAATTGTTTCGTTTCTTTAATTGTTAATAATTTGTTTTTACACTGTAATGTATATTTGTTGAGGTAGTCGAATAAAATATTGTATGCGATGAGATTCCAATCGCTTGTTACCGAACTTGCTATGCTCGTACGGCTAACTTCACGCTCGAGGAATCTCCTCTTTCTCCCAATAGTCACACAATATACTATTATTCAACACCCATTTCTTTTCTTAACTTTAACTCGTGAGATACCTACAAAATAAAAACGTATGAAAACAAATGTAACTAAAAATGTGAATGTGTCTGATGCCTCACAAAATCATATATTAAATTTTGAATACATTCCATGGAAACTCTTCAAATGGAGACTACATTAATTAATTTAAAAAATATGAATTAACTATGGTTTCGCGTAAAAATCGAACAAATTTTGGACATTTGTTTGCAAGTGATGCCAGAATTGAATATATTTTTTAAACCTTGTTTCTACATCTAAATGGTAAATTAAAAAAAAAAAATTTAATCCATTGACCGCTGTGGTTTTCAGCCATTAAGTCACTCTACTGTGTTGAAAATAGATAAATTTCGATATTTTGTAATAACATTTTTATTTAAAAACGTATTGATTTGAAATTAAGATAAAATGTAGACCTTATTAGTGGCAATAAATCCACGTATTATTTTTATTAGATTTTAACATCCAATGCAGAATTTTATGTAGAATTAAAAAATGTAAAAATATATGAGATGTCCTGTTTAAAATAATAAACTTAAAGAAATTTCCGGTAAAACAGGAAGTATTATTTTATTTGGGAAAAAGTCTAAAGCGAATTATTTATTTTTAAATCGATGTCTTTCGCGATTCCATAGACACTAATGGACTACATACGTGAAACACCCTGTATATTAAACGCCATTTATGTGTTATGCTATACTTAATTATTAATAAAAGACAATCAACAATATTTGTAAAGGGTGTCCAATTAAGAGCGCTCTAACTTTAAAATGAAATAAAACCAACTACACTTAAGATATTAGGAAAAAAATATATTTATTTAAAAGAACATCCTATGGCATTAATTATGAAAAATAACATCTTTCAAATGCCCCCCGCGGCTGCGCTCCACAGCGCGCATTCTGCAGGTCCAATTTTCTATCACTTTTTCGCACATTTCGGGTTCGATTTCATTTATTATACGAGTTATGTTGGCCTTCAGTGCTTCAATTGTTCGTGGCTTATTCACGTACACAAGGGACTTTACGTAGCCCCACAAAAAAAAGTTGCATGATCTCGGTGGCCACTGGTTATCGCCGCCGCATGAAAAATTCAACGGCGTCATTTCACGCGGCGGCGATATCCAGTGGCGAGATCATGCGATCTAACGCCGCTGGACTTTTTTTTGTGGGGCTACGTAAAGTCCCTTGTGTACGAGAGTAAGCCACGAACAATTGAAGCACTGAACTTCAGTGACTGAAGGCCAACATAACTCGTATAATATGTAAATGAAATCGAACCCGAAATGTGCGAAAAAGTGATAGAAAATTGGACCTGCAGAATGCGCGCTGTGGAGCGCAGCTGCGGGGGGCATTTGAAAGATGTTATTTTTCATAATGAATGCCATAGGATGTTCTTTTAAATAAATATATTTTTTTCCTAATATCTTAAGTGTAGTTGGTTTTATTTCATTTTAAAGTTAGAGCGCTCTTAATTGGACACCCTTTATAACAATGACAAAATGTACAAAACTATACATTTATGAATACTGCTACTGCTAATTCAAAACTGATCCTGGCCACAGAAATATCATTTGCATAAAAAAGTTAATATATCAAATAATAGTCAAATATCCATACTTTAACGTCTTATACTAAAATTTATAAAACAAAGTTGCTTCTTCCATATTTACCCTAAAAATTGTTAAATTTTAAAGTAAATTATCACCAGCGCCCCCTGTACGTTAAAATCTAAACAAATTTTTTTATGGATCAATTGCCATTAGTAAGATCTACATTTTATCCAAATTTCAAATCGATAAAAAAATAAAAAAGTTATTTAAAAAAAATAAAATTTCTTCATTTTTAACACAGTGAAAAAAAATAAAAATAAAAACAAAGTTGTCAATGGACGAGATTTTTTTTTTTGAAAAAAGTTCTGCATTTAGATGTAGAAATAAGGTAAAAAAGTCAATCGATTTCTTGAACCCTTGCAAATCGATCGTACGATCCTTTCGCGAAACCGTAGTTAAAAAATTCATTACTTTTTCAAGCATTGTATAATTCTACAGCGAATATAAAATCGTACCTAGCCTGCAATGGTGACACATCTCAAAATTTGAACTTTTGAGATTTTATTGAAGCTTTTGATCTTTGAAGCTTTTTTGAGCTTTAATCTAAATTTTAAAAAGTTGCCCTACAATTTTTGCCACAATTTTTAATTTTGAACTACTGTGCGAATTTGTCCTACCATTTTTTAAATTTATGCTACTCTCCAAATTTTGTTCGAATATCCTAATAAGACACAGGCATTTGCGCGCACCGTTTCCGTTTCATCTTTCGAATCGCCAAGTTTTAGTTTACTCCGTCGGAAAATAAATTTCACTTAAAAAATTTTTTTTATAAAAAATGTGATGAAATTGTCGAGTTATATATTTATCAGCTAAGGATGCATACACAATTGAAATTCCTAATTAATATTTTATTTAGTCTTTGGAAGACCTGGTGGTGCACTACGACGGTTCAGTAAGGAACGCTGAAGGCGACATCGTTCAAACAACATACGGTTGCGACGGTCTGGACCCTACCTACATGGAAGGTAAAGACTGTCCGGTGGACTTTGACAGAGTTCTCGACCATATTCGTGCAAAGTGCCCGTACAGAGACGAAATAGCCCTTAGCGGTGACCAAATACGCCGAGCCACACAAGCCTTTTTGGAAACTGAAGCACTGGACGAGTGCAGTGAAGACTTCAAAAAAGAATTGACGTAGGTTTAAACTTGTTCAATCTACAATTTACATTACATTGCTGTTATTTTTCTTTTAGCTCTTATATGAATTCTGTAGCTGGCAGGGTAGAAGACGTACTAAAAAATTACGGCACCTCCAAAGTTGTCAAAGAAATAGAAAGACTAACTTGCAGTCAGCTCGTTACGTTTTTGGAAACATGCGGTCAAAAATACACGAGATCCATAATAGAACCTGGTACTGCTGTAGGTGCTTTAGCGGCTCAAAGTATCGGAGAACCAGGTACTCAAATGACACTTAAAACTTTCCATTTTGCTGGTGTGGCCAGTATGAATATTACACAGGGTGTGCCCAGAATAAAGGAAATTATTAACGCATCCAAGTCTATAAGTACTCCTATTATAAGGGCAAGTTTGGTAAACTCTGATGACCCATGGTTTGCGAGAATGGTTAAGGGTAGAATTGAAAGAACAACATTGGGAGAGGTAAAATATGCAGTGTTTCAAAAAACATGATTTACAATAAACAAAATACTAAACTTCTTTCAGATATCAACCTTTATTGATGATGTCTACACAAAACATGATGCCTTCCTTTTAATTCAACTTAATTATGAAAGAATAAAATTGCTTAAGTTGGAAGTAAATGCAGACACAATCAAATATAGTTTGTGCACTTCCAAATTGAAGTTAAGGCCTGCTGATGTGGAAGTTAGAAGTGAGACTATTATAACTGTTAAGCCTAATAGAAGCAAGAGTTCGAGAAGACTTAATTTTGCTTTGAGTGAGCTTAAGGATCAAATTCCTAATGTTGTAGTAAAGGTACTTAAACACTAGTTTTTAAGGTGCAGGATGGAAATGTCAAAATGCCTTACATTTTCCCCCTAAAATTAGAAGGTTGTGAAAAAATTAAAAAGGATTTGTTTTTAAGAGAAATATGAAGCGAAGGTTCCGATTATGGGGGGATTTTCATTAAAATTACAACTTTTTATAAGGGACACGAATTCGCGATAAAATAAATTGTTTAAGAATTATTGGCGTAGCTAGACCATTTTTTGCCTGGAGCAAAGAAAAATCCACTATACAAATATCGTCAAATGTATGACTTTTCAAAAGTAAGGCTCAATTTAATGCAAATTCATTGGTGGACATTTACAAAATTTACGAATAAGTTTGGGTCTAAAAAATAGGAAAAAAGCTGAGTTTTTGAAAAGTCACTGCAAATTGTCTATTTATTGTTTAAAAAGATATTTCAATCATTCCCGATTTTACATAATAAAGACCTCGAATTTGCCGAATAATCCTTATAAAAGCGGTTTCATATACATAGATGCGAATTGCGAAATACGAATATTCGCATTTCGCAATTTTCCTATTTCATATAGATGCGAACTATTTTAGGGAATTTTTTTTTTACTAGGCGATATTTTCCAGACTATTTTAGGTACTAAAATAGTAAAGTTAGTTAAAGTGACTATAAGGGTAAAATAAGAAACATTAATGTACCTCAAAAAACGCTTTGTCCATTATAAAAAAACAAAAAAATTTCAAACACTTATTTAAACAGTTCGAATAAAACTCAACAAAACAAACAAACGAAATAAATATAAATGGCGTAGGTATAATAAGCAATTGCATTAATGTGCATGAGAAACTCATGCGCATCACGCCAAATTAGTGCGATATTCGCAAAATATTGGATTAATCTCAAGATTCCAGCCCCCTAGATTCAAATGTTGCGAATTCGGTGGTGGTGACTAAATGTCATTTTAGTCATTTTAATCTATGAACTGGACTGAAAACATAAAAAATTAGGCAAATGGGACTAATCTTGAAAAAAAAACCTAAAATATGAAAAAAAAACATTTGAACAAAAACAATAAAAAATACCTGAAAAAAAACGGACCGTGTTTTTTCAGGTCCCATCTCTAGCTGCAGCTGCAGTCGGCAGCTAATAAAACTTTCGAAAATGCCGACTAGTGAATTCACAGAAAAATAATGATCTGAATTTACTTTCGTTCATATCTATCTTTAACTAAATAATTTTCGGCCCTTATGGGGCATTTCATAAAGTTATATAAATTTATATACAGGGTGCACCAAGTGTATACTTCTATAGGTATCTTTTTTATTTGAAGAGCTACGGTCTGTTTAATTAGAGAAAAATTTTGTAATTATCAGCATATTAAATTAAATTTATAAATTGAAAAAAAAGACAGCAGTTCTCAAATTTTTAAAATAAAAACAAAAATCGTAATAATCTACATTTTCATCCAATTTTTTTTCTTCTATAATTTTAATATGGCGGCCATAAGAAAAACAAAAGATGGTGGTGGTAACTCAAAATCTAGTGGGCGAAAAAAATTACAAATTGGATAAAAATGTAGATAAACATAACATTTACATGTGAAACTTACCCTTTTAAAATTCACAGGAATAACGAAATTAAAACGATTTTTGGTTTTTGAAGGTTTTTTTTCTTTTACTTAACTGCCGATTTTGGATAAATGTCATTTTAATAGACTTGTAAATTTAACCGATCTTGTAGCTCTTCAAATAAAAAAAGATACCCATACATAGGATACTTGGTGCACCCTGCAGTGTATACACATGTGTATAGTTTTATACTATATAGTAAATCTTAAGCTTTGTGTATACAATTTATAAATTATATTTTGTATTTAAAATATTTTGAATAATTGGTTAAAAATGTTTTTAAATTAAAACACTTTTTGTTTAGGGACTACCAACTGTAAACAGAGCTGTGATAGCAAGGGAGGATAAAGAAGGCAAATCTTTTTATAATCTTTGTGTAGAAGGTGACAATTTGAGGGAAGTAATGGCCACATATGGTGTTAATGGAAATAAAACTGTTTCTAATAATATCATAGAAGTTTATAACACTTTGGGAATAGAAGCTGCAAGGTATTAAACCGAATTTATTTTAAATACATTAAATATACCTATATACTTTTTTAATTGTAGAGAAACAATAATGTATGAAATTAAAATGGTAATGGAAAATCACGGTATGAGCGTGGATTATCGTCACATTATGTTACTTGCAGCCCAGATGACTCACACTGGTGAAGTCCTTGGTATTACAAGATTTGGTTTATCAAAAATGAAACAGTCTATTTTAAATTTAGCATCTGTAAATATTAATATTACTGTAATAACTATAAATTTGTTTATTTCCTATTTTTTAGTTTGAAAAAACTGCAGATCATTTGTTTGATGCAGCCTACTATGGTCAAACAGACAAAATCAATGGAGTTTCCGAAAACATAATTATGGGAATGTCAGCTCCAATAGGAACTGGAATATTTAAATTGTTACATAAGCCCACAATTGTTGAAGAAAAACCTGAATCTGTGCCGTTATTGTTTGAGTCGATGGTTGTTGATGATTAATTTGTTTATTTATATAATATACAGTTCTATGTATAAATTTTTATTTAGATTTTAACAAAATACAACTTTTTATAAAATAAATTATGTGTGATTATTGTAAATTATAAAGTGAATCAAAGTAGAAATTAACGAAGCATGAAATACTTTATCTTTTTTGTTGCACCAATTCTCTTAAAGCATTGGTTGCTTCAACAAGACTACCTTCCAAGTATGTTTTATTACTTTCTAAAACTTTAATTTTTTCTTCTGCTGCAGTTTGTTTTATCTGCAAATGTTCTTTTACATCTGGCAAGGGAGTAAGGAGAAACATTCTACCCACTGATTCATATGTTTTTGTTCCATCCTCCAGTGTGTTTATTTCTCTGTAAATTTAAATAAAACTTTAAATCACGCTATTTATTACAAAAAATATCAACTTACCTTTCTGTGAAAGTGGCGTGTTGCTTATTTCTTTTTAAGGACTCGATTTGAATGTCATGCAGTTTAATTTTTTGTGAAGTTTCCAATTGCTTACCTTGCAATTCAACGAATGCCTATAAAATAAATAAAGTTAGAATTAAACACTTGATAAATTTACACTTTGCTTACTTTTTTAAGTTCCATATCTACTTTTGAAGCCATAATTTCTTAATTATTTAAGCCGCTGAAGTATCCCAAAATAGGAGATTGAAGAAATTTGACAATTCCAATCCGGCAACCTAATTATGACAGCAAAAATATCCCTAGATTTTTGACAAAAGCCTAACTTCACGCCTAATATTTTGACGTGTAAACATAAAATTGCTAGCTTCACCCAAGTGATTTATCCTTTCCTCATGGCCGGTCGCTGAGACCGTGCATCATTTAATTATACTGCTTAGCTAATAATCCAGAGAACACGAAAAAATTATGTTAGTATTTATTATTTATTTATTGTGAATTCAATACCACATGTTCGTAAAGTGTGCAATAGTAGAATTCTTGTTTTTAAAAGTGATTTAGGTTAGGTTTTTAGAAAGTTAACATATTGTTGTGTTTTTAGCAAAATGTCTCGCCGAAAGGGAATGGAAGAATGTGATAAACTTACCCGTATTGCTATTGTGAATGCGGATAAGTGCAAACCTAAAAGATGTAGGCAAGAATGCAAAAAGTCTTGTCCTGTTGTTCGAATGGGAAAATTGTGTATAGAAGTTTCACCAAATAGTAAAATAGCTTCTATATCAGAAGAATTGTGTATTGGTTGTGGTATATGCGTCAAGGTATTAATTTAAAGTGTCTATAAATGCTAAAATTTATTTATTTATTAATTTAGAAATGCCCATTTGAAGCCATTGCAATTATTAATTTACCGAGTAACTTGCAAAGTCAAACTACCCATCGTTATGGAAAGAATTCCTTTAAACTCCATAGATTACCAATTCCAAGACCTGGTGAGGTCTTGGGTTTAGTAGGTACCAATGGTATTGGTAAATCTACTGCCTTGAAAATTTTGGCTGGAAAGCAAAAACCTAATTTAGGAAGATACTCTGTAAGTTTTTTATAAGAGTATTTATTAGATTTTATTTTAAAGATTTTTTTGTAGGCTCCGCCGGATTGGACAGAAATTCTAAACCATTTTAGAGGTAGTGAATTACAAAATTACTTCACCAAAATATTAGAAGATGATCTTAAGGCTCTAATCAAACCTCAGTATGTTGATCAAATTCCTAAAGCTGTTAAAGGAACTGTTGGTGGTCTTTTGGAAAAAAAAAATGAAATTAACAACCAAGATAATATTTGTAAAATGTTGGGTAAGTTCTTATTTAATTAAAGAATCATTAAATTTATTGTTACATTTTGAAGATTTAAGTCACATCAAAGAAAGAGAAATTGGGGCATTGTCTGGAGGAGAGTTGCAACGTTTTGCTTGTGCCATGGTATGCATACAAAATGGAGATATTTTCATGTTTGATGAACCATCTTCCTATTTGGATGTAAAGCAACGTTTAAATGCTGCAAAAACTATAAGATCTTTAATTAATCCTGATAAGTAAGTTCACACTTAAAATAAAAAATGTTTAATAGATTAGTTAATTCAATCTATTTTATAAATTTTATAAAATTTTAACAATATGCACTTTCTAATTTGTATTGAGGACCCATTTAAAATTTTTGGAATATTGGAACAATAGCCTATTTTAAATTATGTTGGTGTTTTTTTGTTTTTTGCACAATTTATTGCCTGATTCCTATGGGTATTATTGCAATTCATTGGGGAGGAATTTTTTTTGCAATTGTTATGCTACTATATAAAAAGCTTAAATCATAGTTTTTACCATTGGCCATTGCAGCTTTTTTGCAATCTTTGATTAAGGGGGAATTTGTGTTTAGCAAATAACAGCTGTATTTTATTAAAAATACAGCCAATAACCTTTTTGACAAGAAAAATTAGTTCTACAAATTTTATACTTTATATTGTTTGAATAATTTGCATATTTAACATATGTAACATACCTGATTTTTAAGGGCGCTTTAGTAAGTGGCTGTTTTTTCCATTAACAGTTGTAGGTAATTGTGTGTTTAACAATAAGATATTTGACAGTAATAAAATTATTGACACCCTTTTTCTTAAATATTGTTAAATATGATGGATTTATTTTTACATTTGTTTTGTTTGTATAATTGTTAATTTATGTGTAAATTTTTGAAAATTAACGATATTATTATTATGAAAAATATTAATTACTTATACAAATTTGTAGAACTCATTTTCCTTGTCAAAAATTGTATTGGCTGTTTTTCCGATAAAATAAAAAATACCGCCGCGAATTCACCCCTGAATCCAAGGCTACAGGACTTGATGGTTACAAACTTGGATTTAAGCTAAGGATCGGATTTTTCCCCCTATGAATTTTACCCAGACAACAATCGAGATTTCCTGGTGAAGTCATGATGATATCACAACGTGATTTTTGTTATCACGCTGTGATATCCTGAGCATACAAATGCTTCACCACAGTGATATCATGTAGAACTCACGGGGTGATATTTGTAAAATTTGCGCATGCGTATGACCCCTGCGAACTGCGAGTTTAAAGTTTGTTATTCACATTACACCGTTATAATTTATAAAACGTTGTTTGAATATCACGAATGTTCGGACAACATTCGTGATATTCATTCGAACATCATGTCGTGATTTTCACAAATTTTATTCATACTGATATCATACGGAAGTCACCGCGTAATAAATGAAAATCATACGAACGTCACGTCGTGATTTTCACAAATTTTATTCATACGGACATTATCCGGATGTCACTGCGTGAGAAATGAAAATCATGTCGTGATTTTTTATACCATTGCTGTTTGCGATTGACCGAAACTGTTGATTCAATATACATACATATACATATACATGTATGTAGGTATACTTTTTCTCTCAATGTACAAATGTGGCGCAAAAATAAATATCCAAACACCGACGGCATAAAAAATCACTACTGCTACTAACTATATATAGTTAATTTAAATCCAAGAAAATATTAAATGTATTTAACCGCAAAAACTGTTGATTCAACATAATTTTTCTCTTAGTGTACGAACGTGGCGCAAAAATGATTATCCAAACACCGTTGGCATAAAAAATCACGACATGATTTTTTAGGCCATCGGTCAATCGCAAACAGCGATGGCATAAAAAATCACGACATGATTTTCATTTCTCACGCAGTGACATCCGGATGATGTTCGTATGAATAAAATTTGTGAAAATCACGACGTGACGTTCGTATGATTTTCATTTATTACGCGGTGACTTCCCCCAAAAAAAAGCAATTTTTCAGTAGCCTTAAATAGTATTTGCATTCATTCAGGATAAACTCGAGGAAAGATAAATTTCTTATGTGAGAATCAGATAATCTGTGGATAATTTATAAACTGAATATGCTAAATTTTGACTACAAGTACAAAGTTAACATAAATAAATCTTTATAGGTTCATTATTGTTGTGGAGCATGACTTAAGTGTCTTAGATTACCTTTCCGATTTTATTTGCTGTTTATATGGAGTTCCTGGAGCCTATGGTGTAGTTACTATGCCCTTCTCTGTCCGTGAAGGTATATATGTTAATTAACTGTTTAAACTAATTCTAAAATAAACATTTTTTTAAAACAGGAATAAACATATTTTTGGACGGTTTCGTACCCACTGAAAACTTGCGTTTCCGTGACGAATCGCTGGTGTTCAAGGTAGCTGAATCGGCTACTGAGGAAGAAGTCAAGAGAATGAACCATTATGAGTACCCAACTATGGTCAAAACCATGGGTAATTTCCAACTTAAGGTAGCCAAAGGTCAATTCTCCGATTCGGAGATTTTGGTTCTCCTTGGAGAAAACGGTACTGGAAAGACCACCTTCATCAGAATGTTGGCTGGAAACTTGGCACCAGACACTGGTTCAGAGGATCTACCTCAACTACACATCAGTTACAAACCTCAAAAGATCAGCCCCAAACATCAAGGTTTAGTAAGACAATTGCTACACGAGAAAATTAGGGATGCATACATTCACCCGCAATTCATTGCTGATGTTATGAAACCACTGAAAATTGAGGATATTATCGACCAGGAGGTCCAGAACTTGTCTGGAGGTGAATTGCAGAGAGTCGCTATGACTCTTTGCCTAGGTAAACCAGCCGATGTTTATCTAGTTGATGAACCTAGTGCCTATCTTGATTCAGAACAGCGTTTGGTTGCGGCTAAAGTAATCAAAAGGTAAGAATTTTTTTATAGATATTAAATATTTTTAATAATAACAGTAAAAATTGTTTGTATGAGTATGAGTGAGTATAAGAGACGTATAACCAGCCCCATTTCCTCTTGACTCTCGAACCCCGTACAGGCCTATGTTTACTTACGCCGATTTTTGTTCTTCCCCAGCAACTGCACGGCTTCACCCGTGTTTGCTGGGTGCGAATGTTCATTGCGTTCCGTACTGTCCCCTATTTGGGGCTCGAGAGCGAGAGGCGAATAGTTTTAATAGCCATTCTCGGGTTCGCCGAGCCTATGCTATACGCTCAGTGGGGTATAGGAGGAGGGACGGGAGGGTGTTGGTTTTTGGGGGACAATTACGCCGACTAAAACTAAGTACGACGCGGAATCCCCCTAGACCAGTCGATTAGTATTACTCCAAACATTTGGGATTACTATTTGGAGTTGGGGAGTTGTTATTTCGCTGCAGGGGTGTAGTTTCCTAGTCGAGGTCTTTGTCTTGTTCGTTATTGTCATTGTCCGTGTCCTGCACTTGGTAAAGTGTGTCAGTTGTTTTTAATAAATTTGTCCCAAGCACGTTTTGTGGTAGAGTTTTGTCTTTTTTTCTTAATTTCCAAAATTAAGTATTGCATTTATTTATTAGTTAAACAAATGACAAGCGCAATTATTCTGTTATCTAATGATTACAAATCTAGTAGAGTTTGATTTAGGCTTTTTTTTTACTGTGTTAGGGTTATTATGATTAATGTTAGTTTATTCTGTGAGTCTAGTGTTTATTTTCGGTTTCGTTTGGGATTGCATTACGCACTTGTTGTTGACAGATTTATTGCCCTACTCCGTGTGCCTTTCATATGTTTTAAAGATATCTGCCGTTCTTAAATTGCAGATTTTGTATTAGGTCATGCATATTCTTAAGGTAACATCAATTTTTTTGCGAATGGCCACCTCCCCTCTTGTTTGACCTCCTTTGTCTGTCCAGTGAAAAGCGTCCAATGACAGGTGGCACTTAACTCATTCATATCACTTAACACTTCACTCCTCAATGACCGCTTTTAAAAAATAATTGTTGGTTTCAATCTTTAAACTTTTACGTTTTAAGAGCCTTCCCACACGCGTCGCGCCTTCTCAAGCGCTGGAACCTGACTGTGATAACAGTAAAAATTGTTTGTATGAAATAAATTACAATTACAATTAACCATAAGATGTCCATCAATTTTGGGAAAACTAGTAAACAACAAATGTTTTTTTAGGCAAAAATATAAAAATTATTAAAATACATTAATATTATTTAATTTTATGGTAAATTTAATTTAAGGCTATCTGTTATATTTTTTAGATTTATTATCCATGCCAAAAAGACAGGTTTTGTTGTGGAGCACGATTTCATTATGGCGACATATTTGGCGGATCGCGTTATTGTTTTTGAGGGCCAACCTTCAGTCCAAACAACTGCCAACACTCCTCAAACTTTGCTGGCTGGTATGAATCGGTTCTTGGAGTTGCTGGGCATCACATTCAGAAGAGATCCTAACAATTTCCGACCAAGGATTAATAAGCAGGAGTCTGTTAAAGACTGCGACCAGAAACGTTCAGGGCAGTATTTCTTTTTGGAGGATTAATTTTTAATGCATTTTTATTTTATAACATATAAAATATTATATTATTAGTTAATTTGTTTCTATTATTTTTTAAATTAAAATGTGGAAATAAAATGATATGGATGACATGGATCTTTCTTGTTTTATTTTTTGGGGTTTCTTGTTTTATTTCTAGGGATTATTAATAATATAAAAAATATTCAATTGGTAGTGCTCAATGGAAAACATTAATTTAGATTTAGACACGCCACTAAACTAAACTAAAAATAATCTTTTTAACGAAATAAAATCGTTTTGTATACAAAATTGGACAATTTTTGTCTGATTTAAATAAAGTTTACATGATTACTCCTCGACTCTTTTTCCTACCCTAGACACAATGACAATGTCAACTTAGTACTTATTGAACCACCGTCGTAATTTATACCTAAACGTAAACGTTAGGGAGGTAAAAAAATTTTTGTAGTCCAATCAAAATTTGCTAGTTGATCATAGTTCAAGAACTCTCCAAAAATAAGCTCGATTAATTTTGTTTTAAGTGGTCGCTTACGAATTTTGAAAAATCGAAAAATAGTCTAAATTCGATTTTTTTTTGTAATTTAATTTTTCTGCTCCCTACGGTAACGAGTAAATGTACACGACAAAAATGGGTTTCTAAAAGTTTTAGCTCAAAAACGAGATTTTTAAAGGTCGCTCATAACTTTTTAAAATTTTCGACCGACCTTTAAATATTAATATAATTTTTATTTTTCTTTATATTCGTATTATAATGAACAAATATACACCACGAGATAAAAAAAATTAGACACAGCAGTGAAATACGAGTTAAGTCTAAATTTTATATTTAAAAATGGGTTAAAACCATCAAAATTGATAAAACATTTGTAATCGAACTGTTTTGGAAAGAGCTTCCTTTGGATGACCAAGGGGGTAAATTTTGACCCCATTGTATATTTTTCTTGAATAAACTCTTAAATATTTTTAATTTTTAACTGAATATTTTTTTATTTGACTATATTATTATGACAAGTATCTTTATATTTTGCATTAAAAAAATTTACAAATATTTCTCATTAGAAAAGTATTTTTAAAATAAATATGGTATTAACAGAATATTCAGTAGATCCTAAAGATGCAGAGCCAGCTGAAAATCCCAAGAAACGTGGCCGATGTAAAATTTGCTGTCGATCTTCCGACAGAAAGTTTACAACGAAATGCGATAAATGCAAGCATTTTGTCTGCAAGGAACATTCGAAGATTAAAAAAAACTTACTATGTAATACCTGTGGTTACTAGTGCATTTTTTTACAAATTTCATTGCTTCCTTTATTAGGTTTAGACTAATATTTTTACTTTTTTGGTTTATTTGGAATACAAATTTGTTGTACTAATGTTTGTTTTCATTATTTAATATAAAATATAACATTAAAATAATGAAAGCATGTTTTCGTTTACTAAAATCAGGAGGGGTCATTTTTAACCCCCCTTGGTCATCCATGTATAAAAAAGAAGTCATCCGATTAACTAATTGTTTAACATATGTATTTTCATAGGAGACACGAAAAAAAATAGTAATTGTGGACAGTGTTTCTATGGAAATAGATATATCTATCGCTAAGTGGGTACTCAGCTTAAACAGTTTTAAATTAAATAATTTTATAATTAAAAAATTGCACAAAACAAAGAAAAAATAATTGTTCAAATACATATTTTTTTCAGCAAGCAATTTTATCACACACAATTACACATATTACAATATTAGCGCATCCACCATTTCTAATAATCTATCGCAAAGTGGATACGCAGCTTAAACAGTTTTAAATAAAATTGTTTAATTTTATATTTAAAAAATTTAACATCAAGAAAAAATAATTGTTCAATTATACTTAATACATATTATTTTACAGCAAGCAATTTTATCACACATTTGAACAATGTGTAAAGTACGTACTTTACACATTGTATCCACTTAGCGATAGATAGAATTATTAGAAATGGTGGATGCGCCAATATTGTACAATATTGGCGCATCCACCATTTCTAATAATTCTATCTATCGCTAAGTGGATACGCAGCTTAAACAGTTTTAAATTAAATTGTTAAATTTTATAATTAAAAAAATGAGCAATACCAAGAAAAAATAATTGTTCAAGTACATATTTTTTTACAGCAAGCAATTTTATCATTTTGTGCATCCACCATTAATAATAATTCTATAGATAGATATATCTATAAAATTTTATAAATTTTATAATTAAAAAATAATAATTATTTTTTAATTATAAAATTTCATTTAAAACTGTTTAAGCTGCCTACCCTTAGCAATAGATATATCTATCTATAGAATTATTAAAAATGGTGGATGCACAAAATGATAAACTTGCTTGCTGTAAAAAAATTATTATTATTATTATTGTTCAAATAGGTACCTACAAATTTTTTACAGCATACAATTTTATGACACATTTGGACACATTTCATATTGGCGCATCCACCATTTCTACTAATTCTATCTATCGATAAGTTGATACTTACAATACAATAGAGATGTCACGGAATAGCTTTTTCTTGTACCTATGTAGTTTGACCTGTACCAGTTCCCAACGCGAACCTATTCCAGATACCTATTCCAATTCCTGCCTATTTCGACCCAAATGCGCGGTTGTGGTGACTCTCGCAACGTTGCAAAAGGTTAAAACTATTACGAATACGAAGCAGTATTGAGTATTTACATTTAGTTTCTCGATGCCGAAATCAATGCGGTAATATTGCATACCTACTCTTTTATTTATGGCTTTTTTCTGATAAAAACATTCCATCCATATTTCTCTTGTAGTTTATTTATTAGTCTCATCAGTAGCCATAATTTGATAATTAATTAATAATAAACGAAACGTATACGTAAATCCTGGATTGCATGATAAGGTATGGTATACCATACCTTATCATGCAATCCAGGATTTACGGGTTATAAAGTGAAATAACGCGGCAACCGGCAAAGACGCCGATCCAAGAAAATACCTACTGCAGTTCCAATCGGTTTTATTTGCTATTCACCGTCACAGTCATCGTGAATAGAATAGGCATGATTCCTTGTATAATGAGAATAGAAAACAGACTAACTGCGTGACAGCGGCTGCCAGGTCTCGGAATAGGAAAGGCCGGAATAGGTTCCGATATTTGGGAATAGGTACGCGGAATAGGCAGGTGATACCTATTCCAAAGTAGCCGGTCCAGTTCCACTGTAACATCCCTACAATACAATACAATATTAAATTAAATTGTATAATTTTATAATTAAAAAATTGAACAACACCAAGAAAAAATAAATGTTTAAATACATATTTTTTTACACACATTTGGCCAGTGGCGGACTAAACCCGCCGGGGGCCCGGGGCGGTAAAATAAAATGGGGCCCCTAGTCTGCTTATGAAATAATGTGATTGTTTTGTAAATATTAATGTTTTGTTATTTTAAATTTGTTAGTAGATCCTCTTAGCACGTCCTTTGCATCACTCTTAATGTAATCAGGGATATGAAAATTGATTACAAGCTTTTTCTAGCGAACTTATACTTTAACTTGTAAATAATTATTTAAATTATAATTTAAATTTTAAAAATCAAGGGGCCCACTCATGGCAGTCTAAGATTAACCATTATTTAATATTAAATACATATCTAATTATAACCATTTTCTAATTCCTGCTGGATTGCAGCTAGGGGCTCCCGATACCAAAATATTAAAAATCTTTTTTAGTTTTAACTTAATATTTTGGTTTTTTTTCAAATCTCCGGGGTATTTTTTTATTCAGTTTATATTTTATGTTAAAGCTGGGTCCTGAAATATGTATAAAATATATATAATATATAAATGAAATATGTATAAAATATATATAATATAAAATGTCGAAAAAAAAACCAAAAAAATTGGGAAAAAAACAGGCCTTAAAAAATGTCTTTTTGGGAATTATTTTTTTTTTTGAAAAATATATACATTTGAAAAAAGTAGCAATCAACAACTTAACATTCATTTAATTAAAAAAAAAATAAAACTAAACATTGAATTAAACTAAATTGATACCTATTATTCAGCGTCGGAAATTCACTTTTTTCTCGATATAAGTGTACCTACTGTAAAAATTTGTAAATTTTTAGAAAAATTGACTTGCATTTCTTCGTATTATTCTTTGAATAAAATGTGAAAAATGCAGTCAAATTTTCTGAAAATTTCCTAATTTTTTTCCCGGAGAAAACCGTTTTTTTTGGCCGGCTCAATTTTTCCAGAAATACCCTAAATTTTAGATAGTTTTTTGTTGGACTGAGAAAGACTACTTAAGGCGCCTTAGTTGGCCACTGCATTTGGCCCCATTTGAATATTCCCCCATAACACAAAAATATATTTAAAATATTGAATGAATATTTTTGCTAAATAACCTAAATATTTTAGAAATATTGTAACACTAATTAGTCAATATCATTTAAATGTCTCTAAAATGTTTTTACAACATTTAGATATCCCACTTTTTATATTTATAAATACAATATTTTTTCACAACATTTTTAAAACATTTTTGTAAATGTTTCCTTAACATCACAAAAATATCTTACAGTTCATTGCATATTTATTTTAAAAATGTTGTAAATGTTGATAAAATGTTGCTTTTATATTTATAACAGCCGGGTGCTTACATCAGAAAACTTTTAATGAACTTTTCAAAAAGTCATTGTTAAATAACTTAACAATATTCAAGAAATAATATTCACATAAAATTGCAAAATAAATGTTTACGTGATATTTATAAATTTATTTAATGAATTAGTCAAAAATAACTAATTATTAGTCATATTTGACTAATTGTCATAGCGAAAAAGCAGCCACTAATAATTAGTCAAATTCTACTAAATGAAATAGTCAAATTAGTATATTAAAATTTAAAAAAAAGTTTTGACCCAGCCGGGGATTGAACTCAGGTCTGTCGCTTGTCAAGGTTTTCAAGCTGTTGTCATAACCTATCTGGCTATCAGTCGCTCTTATAAAAATAAATTTTATTTCTCAATAAATATTGTTCATAATATATTAAAGTTGAATATATTATTTGTGTTGCTGTTTTGAGCTAAACTTTTTGCATCTTGCTTGTTTTTATGGGCCATTTAACCATGGAGGTATATGCATTAAATTCAAATAATACTTTGTTGTTGGCCGCAAACGATTAAAGAAATTATAATTTAATAATAACTATACCCAGTCAGCATCCAATTCAGAAAGATTTCAGTATGAAGTCTTTTAAACAACTTCGTGTAGAAGTTCTAACATGACGTCTTAAACCGTTCCTTTTTATGAGCTCAGAATTCTGTGCTGTTAATGAACTCATAAATAAGAAGTCAATTTTTTTACGTACAAATGAAGATCTTTTCTTGACCTCTTTTTGAACAATTTATTTTGTGCTTACAGAGTATTCTTTTTTCTTACTTCCAATTGAAATCATACTATTAACTCTTTTAGAAGTCAACATGGAAACGTCACATTTATAACATTTTAATGCGATTACTTTCTTCTCACCGCTGTAACTGCTTGTGTTTGATATAAGAAGCGGCGAAGTAGAATTTAGAGCGTGCTCCATACCAAACGGTCTTAGACCTAGGTAAACGGCTACCCGATACTGACGAGCTCCAAAAGAGCGAAACAGGCCGTCTATCGGTGCCAGTGAAGAGCACGCTTGAATTTAAACAAAAGTGAGACGAAGTAATCGCAATTCCTAAAATAAGCGAATACGTGAAAATAATTAAAATGATTTTAATAAAATCAATTTAACAAATCAATAAAATTAATAAAATAAACTTGACATGTCAAAATAAGCAACGATCCAGTATGCAATTTCTTCATCAGTACCCTAGTAGTACTTAGAGATGAGCGATACCGTGATTTTTAAATCACACTGATATTCGTTACTGTGATTTTTTTATATCAGTGATTTTTAAACGTGACGTGATCACAGGTTTTAAACTGATTGATGAAATCGCATTATACATCGTTATATTGTGTTCGTTTAATTTAACAGTGGTAATTTTATTGTTTTTGTATTTATTTTTATTTCAACACATAAATTAAACTATTTTTAATAAAAACAGCTTTATTTGTAATATTTTGTTGCTTACGTTTACATAAAAATAAAAGTTATTGTAAGCAATTTTTATATTAAAAAATTAAAAAAAACTCTGAAAGTGTTTTCGTTCAATTTTTTTGATTAGGCCAGTAATGACAGATTTGCCTGCGGCCGAAATTACTTGGTGTGATAATAAATATGTTAAATTATTGTGATAAATAGTAATTCACGGTTTTATCATTTAATACTTTTTAATATCAGTGAAAAAGATTATTGTGATAAATACCAACTCACGGTTTTATCGTTGTTTAATACTTTTTAATTTCAGTGAAAAAAACACAAAGTGCAGTGAAATCCAAAACGGAAAATTCTAAAGAAGTCTTTTTATAAGTTTATACAGTAGGACTCTTTAAAATGCTTAATTGCGAAGTCAAAGAAAAGGGTTTCTCAAGAGTTCTTTTTTAAGAAGTCTTGATTAGTTCAATAGGTGTCGCATTTGAAGTTTTAAGAACTTCTTAAAAACTTCTTTCTAATGTTGTATTTGACGTCCAAATCATAAAATAGAGCTTATGCAGACTTAATTAAGACGTCATATTGCTGTCTGGGTAGTTACTTTAAACTCTCAGAAATAGTCAAAGATGGTGACTAATCTTAAATTAGTCAAATTTTAACTATTTACGTAGTATAAAATAACTATTTAAAAGTAAAAACGACTATTTTATTAGTAAAAAATGCTGGTACTAAATTAGTACCAGCACTTTTTACTAATTCAAATAGTAGAATTTTGACTAGGTATTTCATTTTAAGAGAGAATGTTTCAGAAATATTTGCCCCTGAATGTTCGTACAACATTTTATTAACCTTTTATTTATAAATTTTGTTCTCCAAACGGCCTGACAACATGTGTTACCTGGGTTGGCGCATCCACCATTTCTAATTTCACATTCTAAAAACTACCTACTAGTTTAAAAGTAGGCTAAGATAGTAATTTTACAAATTCCTAATAAGATGTTTATAACCCCAAGGTAAAGGTTAAGTAATTTAAAATGTGTTACTATTTTAAGGCATTCTTTAAAAATTTTTTTTGTAATTAATTACAATTGCTAGCAATAAGCTTATTTAATGTATATTTAATACATTTTATAAAATATATTTTAAAGAATTAATTCTTAAATCTTAATTAAATCATTTAGATTATAAACAACATCTTTGAAATCTCTCTTATCTTTATAAATAAATACCTATGATATTTATAAGTAAACAACATTTTAATCCCAGCGCATTCGCCATTTTTTTAAATCGCGAATTGTGAAATCAGTAACATACAATGTTTTAATGCCTTTAAATTTATAACATATAAACCTATTTTTCTTTTTATATGTAATATATTTAAAGATTATAGGTACCTATTTCGACATTTTTAAGTTGTTTGTTTAAAATCTCATAACAGATTTAAAATAAAGTTTAAAAGAGCGCTGCATGTTTTACTTTAAAGCGTTTTATTAAAGGCTTATTTTAATGCTTAAATTAAATATAAAAATAGAGCGTTAGAACGCATTGGTAATTTTAGTTTTTAATACTTTATGGGCGTCGCGACGCGTCGTTCAGACTATAGTAGGTATACTGAAAATAATCAATAGGAATTAAAAACACCGTATATTATATCGATCAACGCACAGATATCAAAAATAAATAAAAGATTAGAGTTATTCGGAATTCCAAAAGTTACTATAGTATAAACGCTGACCTTGCATTTAGAGTTTACTAATGTCAATTTTTTATTCGGCCGGTATTTTTGAGAGAATAACGCACAGACGGACGTTCTATGGTTGGCGCATAATCGACAGAAACCGGTGAAAAGGCGACCGCGCTAGGCTACGATTTCACTGCAAACAAGTTAACTCTGTGGGTGTGACCGTTTTACCGAAACTCTCTTGCATGTAAGCTATTTTTAACTTAATTCATCTCTTTATCGATTTATTACCTATTATCACACATACATTATATATAGAACTACACACAATCTAAGCGAAATAATTGCTAAAATTATCCGCTACATATTTGCGGCAATCATAAAAATAAAAAACTTATCTTTTATCTATGACTAATATATTTAATAAACAACTTCTTTGAAAATTGTTATTCACAAGGTGGAAGGTGTATCAACAAATATATTTAGCCATGATGTCATGTTGTTAAGGTTTATAATACAACTTGAATAATTAAAGATTGACAGTCGTTAGCCAGCGTTCGCTAAGATAGTGTGCGGTACCTGTTTAAATTTATTTACTTAAGTTTTATTCAACATTTTTTTTCGTTTTATTCCTAGTCAGTTTGGATTTTAAGCAACCATGAGCAACCAACAGTATTACCCATTCAAAGTAAGTTATTTTTAAATTTATTTTAATTAATTATAAACCCATTATTTTGTAATAACATTTACATTTATTAATTATTAGGTTTAATGGTTTCCTTTTCGTGGTATTTTATGCAAATATTAAGATTAAGTTTTATACATCATTGAAATATTTAAATAAAATTTTAGTATTTACTTAAATATTTAATTAACAAAAAAATAATATTGTAATAAAAATCTAAAAAAGTAAAACTTGTAAAGAAATAGTTTATCTACTATATAAGGTAAATTCGCAAACCTAAACATGATATATGGTAAAATGTACTCATAACTCAAGTAGATGTCTGTTGAATGACTCATTTGAGACTCATTAAATGCAGCTTACAACAAATTAAAATAACTTACCATCTTTTATAATTATTATAGTTTATATAATATAAATACATTTAATATAATTTAATTATAAATAATTTTTCATTGTTTAAACTAATAATTAGTATTTAATTTATGTCGTTGCCTTCAAAAGTGTTTATTCTGATTTAGGACATTGTATGCATTTAAATAGTTAACGTTTTCCTTATTAAGAATTACTTGATTGCGCGATTTTAAATATATTTATAAATAATTATTGCACATTTATGATAAAGTAATCGTTTTAAATTATTTACCACCTTTTAATATCAACTATAGATGTGACATGGCATGTCCTACATATCCATAGGAAATATTGATTTAAAATAAGAAAGTTAATTTTTTTTCATTTAATTGTATGCTAGTAAATGAAACAACTGTATTTCCGGTTATGCATTGTTTAGTTACAACTAAATAAATGGGAATCTCCGGACCATCATTGTCCACCAGGGACATTGCGAGGGATTTATTATTCAATCCAATATTTCCAATGAATTTAAACGAAATTTCGGCGATTTTGAATAAATCGGCATTTTCAGAAAATTATTTAGTTTAACATGCGAAAATGAATTCTGATTTTAATTTTTATGTGAATTACTGGTCGGCATTTTGGAGAGTTTTATAAGCTGTCCAATTTTGAGGAGCATAATGTTTAGTTAATAACATTTGGATTTTGACACAAAATCTGTTTTTATTGTCAAGGCCGTTTTGTTGGACGTCCAAAACAAGGACAGATTTTGGACGAATTAACGATATTAGATGCAATAAATACACATTTTAGTAATGATTACCTTAAAAAGTGTAAACATTTCAATTCAGTAAACATCGTCAAACAAATAAGTCGTCTAAATTTAAACAGTATTTATCATTATTAAAAGCGATGATTAAGAATTCTTTAGTCTCCACTCAACAGTAAAAAACCATTATATTATGTATTATATATAATATTATGTTGCCATGAATTCGCAGGTATATTTTGTTGTTTAAAATGCAGTTGTCGGCGTTTTTAGAGAACTCAAATATAAAAATGGTTGATTTTAAGGTTATGTTTGTGCAAAAATAATTTTTTACTAATTTCTTAAAAATGTCCTAACTTAAATATAAATTATATTAGGTAAAGTTATCATTAGTTAATTCTGCACCAACAAATGTACTTACCGAATTGGATCCTTTGGCAAAACATGAAAATGCAACGATTTAGTTCTTGAATTTTATTTACAATTAAAAACACAATAATTCAACATAATCCCTTAGATAAAATACACACACTAACGTAGCTATATAAGCATTTAAGCGTTGAGTTTCTTAATCAATAATATAAGGAATAATCAATCTACTAAAAAAGTTTCTTAATTTTTTCCTTGCAACGTAAAACACAAATAACGTGCGTGATTTAGCTGTGCAATTGAACAAAATTTGTCGAGTAAGACTTCTGCCTTCCTCTCTTTTGTGAAAAACGACCTATTTATTTAAAAATGATGTACAGTTCATCTGCTTTAAATGTATTGTTGACAATTCTTAAATTCACGCAATGTTATGAAGTCCACCAGATGGCGCGCGCGTTACGAAAACCCGATACTTCTTTAGCGTATAGCTACGCCCCTGCCTAACATGGTTTATAGTAGAAATTCGATTAATCAATAGGAAAGTTATGCCAAATTTAATGGAAAAATGTTAAAATCCATTTCTAAATATGATTTAATCGATAGGAAAATATCAGCAAGTCAAGTGAAAATTTTAGATAAAAAATTAAAAATAAGCATTGCTAATGCGTTATTTATAGATTACAGTCACCATTTACTTACTGCATTTCAAGTTTAAAATTTTACAATGAATTAGTGTTATTATAACAATAAAAGTAAATTGCCATCTTCCTTAGTTATTTAACTTATTCGGTTATTATTTTTATTATTATCTAACCTATTTGTTATGAGAACCGAGAATCTTTAGTGAAAGGATCATTCGCCTTATTTTAATTAAAGTGGGCATACCGGTTCTGTGAAATAAAAATAGAATCTTATTCAGCCTTCTAAGCATCGCCATCATCTCACGTTCCAAATACATTTTTACCAATTGTATTCATTCGTGGTTGCTTTAGGAGGGAGAGGTCAGGCGACAGCCCGTAGCGGATAAATCAAAAGATATGTATAAAATATGTAAAAACCTCAATGTTATTAATGATAAAAGAACGGTCTTTTAGGCACTTAAAAATTAAAAAAAGGCACTAAAAAAGGCAAAATAGGAAGGTTATATGGGTCCATTAAAATAGTATTAACCCAACATAAATAATTACCCAGAAAACATTAAATCTTCGGCCGATGATCGGATACATGTTGGCAATTGATTTAGCAGATACATTGGCTAGACCACGTCAGCAATACGTCGAACCAACATTATTTCTTTATTAGTCTTTTTCCGGAATTCCGATTGTCGGTTAAATGTCTGAAAATGCTGAGCTTAAAAAAAAAAATACGTCGTCAAAACGTATAAGTTATAACGGGACGATATCGTGTTTATTTTTCAGAATAAAAAGTTTAAAATAATTATTATTAAATGTTTAATTTAATATAACAAATTTAATAAAAAACAAATTTTAAACATCATAAATATTTAAATGTCGAAAAATTATTATCGTATAATATTTTGTAATATATAGGTATTAGACTACCATTCGTGGTAACCAACCGTTTTTTAAATTAATCAGTTTAAATAAATTTGATTTTGCGTTATGGTGAGTGCTATCTTCTCTCTAAAAATGAATTAGCCACTAATAACTGTAGTAATTATTCATTATAAATACTACAGTTATTAGTGGCTGCTTTTTCACTTGTACCATGCAGTGGCGGCTGGTGGATTTTAGGTATACCAATATCTCAGTTATTAGACATGGGACCCACACCAAATTTATAATAGTTTATAATGACATTAAATAAACAAGTTCGGCGCAAACAGAATTTAAATTGAAGTTTGACAAAAAAAGTTAGTTTTTCCTGTCGCCTCACCCGCCTCCAAATTTTATTTAAATTATCCAAATATTACTGATTTTATTCGATTTTAAATTTTTATTATTTATTTTATTGAAATAAAAAAGTATTTAAAATGGTATAAAACCTGTAATATTTGGATTTTTTAAATAAAATTTTAAATTAGTCGATAAATTATAGTAGATAATAAATTGCACCACTTTAATTTGAATTATCTTAAATAGGGGGGCCTGGAGGCGGGTGAGGCGACAGGAAAAACTAACTTTTTTTCGCAAACTTCAATTTGAATTCTGTTTGCGCCGAACTTGTCTATTTAATGTCATTATAAACTATTATAAATTTGGTGTGGGTCCCATGTCTAATAACTGAAATATTGTTATACCCAAAATCCACCAGCCGCCACTGGTACCATGGTTAACCATGGGATACCATGACATCCCAAAATTTACCAGCCAATTCTTATGTAAAATTGTCACCTGAATCCGAAAATACCGTCAAAAATTATGAAAGTAGAGGAGTTTTTGAGATATAGTCAATTCCATATTAAATGGAAAATTATGTAGGTATATCTCAAAAACTGTTTTACTTTTTTAATTCTTGACGACATTTTCGGATTCAGGGGACAATTTTACATGGAAATTGACTGCTAAATGTTCGGGATACAAAATGCTATTGACGAGAATTATTAGTGGATGCTTTTTCGCTATGACAATTAGTCATTTTTGACTAAAAAAGTTAAAAAAGTAGAACAGTTTTTAAGATATAGTCCACTTTCCATATAATATGGAATTGAATATATCTCAAAAACTCCTCTACTTTCATAATTTTTGACGGTATTTTCGGATTCAGGGGACAATTTTACATAAGAATTGGCTGTTAAATTTTGGAATACCATGGTATCCCATGGTTAACCATGGTACAAGTGAAAAAGCAGCCACTTATAACTGTAGTAATTAGTCATTTTTGACTAATTTATTTTTAGAGAGTATATAAGCTGAGCAAAATATATGATGGTAAACATTTAATATGCCTTTATTCGGAAAAGTGGTGAACTATTATAACAATTAACGTAAAATAAATTATTTTTATCGGACAATGTTTGGAGGGTTCGCCACCTCTTTGAAGTGCAGATTTTATCTTCCGAATTTTAAAAAGGTGCGGAACCTTCAGACATTGCCTGATCAATATATTTGTTTTTTGTTAGTTGTTGCATATTACATTTTTACCATCAAAAGTTTTGCTTAGCTAGGGTGACCAGGTTTGTCCTCCTCAATGATAGTGTCCTCGTTTGTCCTCCTTTTGAATTATAAAAACACCTACTTTTAAATAATATTTTTACATGTATTTGAAACATATTTTTGTGGTACCTATTGTTCTTAGTGGGTCGAACAGAAATTTATTGCATTTTTTGATTATTTCGATAAAAATCATATACCAACCAAGTGAAAATTTATAAAAAAGGGGACAAATGCTACAATGACAATTATTATTCTATTAGGTATAGTAAAGCTCAATATATGCATGATTTGCAATAAATTGCAATCTTTGCTAAAAAATAACTTATAGTCGAAAGTATACCTAAAAAACTAAATAAATGTATGTTTTAAAAAATTATATTTAAGTTTTTATG